TTGGTTGTCTTTGAAATTAGTGTATGTCATGAAAATTCTAGGATTTAATCATTCAAGCTTACCTATTTAAACATGGGTAGTGAATATAATACTAACTTTGGAAGATAAAAATCATTTTCTCCAGAAATTTTTAGATTTTCTCGAAAGCTTTGGATTTATCTCAAATAATTTACATATTTTTATTGGAAGAAAATCTTAAATACTTAAAGAGATCTATGTTTTAGAGGAAAGTATAAACTGAAAAAAAGAAATTGAAAAACTATCATAATGCTAAATTCTATAAAAATTGATAGCACAAACTCTTCTAAGGATCAACTGTGAACATCTCAAGTTCAAATCTATCATTGTTACATATCATAATTACATCAAACCTTTATTTTTGAAGAGTACAACTTTCACTTTTTATTTAAAAAAATCTAAACAAAATACATTACCTTTTGAAATCGATAATTATTTATATAACATAAGGAAATATAGAGGTTTAGAGTAAATGTAAATACGAAGATATCCTTTGTTATCAAAAAAAACATAATTCTTAATAGTTAAATATATGTCATCTGGTCTTTTATATAAATTTAATGTTGAATATTCATCGCTTTTTACAAGAAAAAAAGTTATGAAAATCTTCATTTTTCATAGTTTATGACTCAAGAATTGAAAATTTATTTATAGAGTTAGGTTAACACAAAATTAGGAGACCGACTATACTATTCTTTTCCAGATTTTCAATTATTAACTATGAATTATTTATTATTCTTATGATTTAATCTATTTTATATTTAAAGAAATGTTTCACTTCTTTCTTAATTTACCTTTTGTTTTCATAATTTTTTTTATTTATTAATTATTTAATATACTTTTTTTTGCATCTTCTGATATTTTAATTGCTGTTGAAATTATTGAGACGATTAAAGTGCTATTTTTATGATTTTTAATGATATAATTTATGGATTGACAGTTTTAAGATCTAAAAAACTTTAATTTAAAGTTTTATACTGTTGTACATATTTTATCATGCAAAACCATGTAAGATTTCTATTCGCCATTTCTTTTCTATTAAAGAAAACTTATGACCGAAATACTGCTAACTTAGAAGAAAATATTAATTATTATACGGTTAGAAAAACTAACCCAATACTCTATTGGTAGAAATACTCTGTCAACAAAAAGACTTAACAATTCTCTTAAATATGCTTTAAGTTAGCATTTCAATTAATTTGGTATAGAAAAATAATTAAACATAGTTCATTTAAATTATTTAATAAAATTTTATTCATCGATTTCTGTTTCTAAATATGTCAAATAAATATTCGATTATTCTCACTAATGGTTAGAACATAAGACCAGAAAGCAACAAGGATCCTCTCCAATACTCATTTTCCAAATTTATTCTCTTAATTAAATTTAATAATTTGTACTCCTTTGTTCATCATAAATTTTGTATCTAAAATCAAGTAGAATCCATAGGTTATAACAATTACTGCACCTACGATCTTCTACCATACTACAGAAGTATCAATCAATATCAAAATTATCATTATTGGTATTGTTGTACCAACAATGATTATAGCTCCAACTATAAATATAGATTTATATATACTTTTCCAAGTAATTTCGCTTTATTTTACACACCCAAAAATTGTAAACATTAATATTATCAGAAGAGTATTCCCCCAAATCATCCATACAGGACCTTCTAAAAAACTTATTGCCATAAAAATGCTTATTGTTGTAATTGTAAGTCCAAATGAAACTTAATACAAAATTATCACTATTTATTTTAGAGGAGCCTATGTTTAGATTTCTTATTTTTACTTCTCTAGCGCAGTTGCTAAAGTAGAGTGTGAATTATAATAATAATGAAACAATTAAAGAAATATAAAACAACACTGTTGGTGCTAAACTATAGGTGCAATAATCTATCAACATAATGCATGCCTCTTGCAAAGTTATTAGCCAAGTTCCCATATTTGTGTGAAATCCTAAAGAAATTATTACCAAATATATAGCAAACTCGATTGTTACACAAACATACATTTTTTGAAAAAATTATGCTCTTAATTAAAAATTATCAGATTGATCTTGAGCTAAACAAAATATTATGTTAAAAACTTTGAGATTGAGTTATTTTTTAAGTATTTCCACCTGATGTTTCAAAAAACTACTAATTCACATATTATTGCTAACCGTTTTAATCTAAAGACTAATTGTTAAAGCTGCTGTTCATTACAATAAAATAATTATAATATTAAATAAATTGTCTCTAATCTCAAGACCTTAAATGATAAAAATTTTGAATATTAAATCATTTTATATATTTATTTATTCACCTATTTAAAAAAATTCAGATATTAATTTAATTTAATTTATTTTAATTTATTTTACTTTAATTTAATTAGAATTGAAACTACAATCATTATATGCTTTCAACTTATTTTTTGTTAATTATTAATAGTAAATCATCTCCAATAAATGATACTATCTTGTTATGAATAATATCAGATATTTTATTTCCATTTATCTGAAGCTAAAGATGATTTTTCAGACTTGCGAACTTTAATAGAAATAAGTAATAATTTTTCTAATGTGTTTTTAGCGTAGACCACATATAATGTAATTTATCCAAAAAGTTAGATTCAATCCAAATTGCTTGCATTATCTAAAAATTAATAGCATATATTGATAGATGAATCGATTTTATGTAAGTTTATCTAATATGTTATTAATTTATATATTAATTTTATCAATTACTCTTAAACTAAATAAAATTATTACTTGTTTGAGAATAAATTCAATTTATTTCATAAAGGAAAGTTATAGTCAAAATTTATTTAGTTCAATTCTTGATGCCTCTATTAGCTAAAACCAGTTTTAATTTAATATTCATTTTTAATAAAATTATTTTTCTAAATTCATATTTTTTTTGCAATTTTAGATTCTTTTTCACTCTAATTCAATTTAGTATTTTAGAAAGAGCTGAAAATATCAAAAAAAATGAGTTAGAATACTTTGAGATTCATTTTCTAAATATTTTTTTATAATTTAACTAAAATTCTATATTAATTTGAAGACAAGCAGAAACCTTAAAAGATTACACATAAAACTTCTATTTTTTGTTTTCCAAAAATCCTAAACCTCCTTTAATTAAATAATTAGTATTAATCAAGAGATCATTAAGTTGAATATTTTATCAAATCCATCATTATTTAATATCTTTTAAATCTTACATTAGAATGAAAATTTCTTTTCAGGTTAGAGATGAAAATTTGAAAAACTGCTTTGAGTGGAATGATAATTATAAATATAAATTCCAATTTATTATGCAATTATAATAGTTGGAGAAAACTCAAAAGCTTGGGTAAAATAAATATCTGTGTATTGAAAAAAAGACAAAAAAAGAATATATTCTGACATTATAGGCATCTTCTGATTACGATGATCGAATTTGTAGTATTGATCATAAAAATTTTCTTGTTATTTTGGATAAATGGTAAGAAAATGGAATGATGTGTATGATATAAAATAGTGAACCCTTATAAACGATTAAGGGAGGAGGTTGTTTCGGAGAATAAAAAATTTTATCAATAATTTTATAACTTGCTTTAGCCCTAAATAATGCTGAGTTAAAAGGAATATAAGCAACAGTTACTCTCTAAAATTTGTTTCTCGATGAATACAAAAATATAAAGGTTTGTTATTAATTCAATTAAGATCGATTTGCTATCATTAAATGCCACCCCATTAAATTTTGCTTCTCCAGAAGTTCTGAGAAAAGAATCCAATCACTCTGGAATTTGGAGTCTAGGTATTATAGGATATTTTCTTGCTAACAATCGTATGCCTTTTAATGGTGACAATGACAAAATTCTTGCATATAATATTATTTATAAAGATCCTCATCCCACAGATTAAAGCAAATTTCCTATATTATCTCAAATAATAAAATGGATTTTAGTTAAAAACATATAAAAAAGATATACATACTAGTAACTCATTAATTATTTAAATGACAAAGTACAATTTAGAGACACACCTTCAAGTTTATTGATGAATTAATAATTTTCAAGAACAATTTCAAAAAAAGAATAAAGTATTTGCTCTTTTAAAGAAAGCAAAATTGAAATCATAAATGAATCAGATTCCGAACGAAATAATCAATCTTAGTTTTTAGAAATAAAGCCTATTGTACCTTAGATAATAACATTAGATACAGTAGAAAATATGCATTCAGTTCATAGACAATTAAAAAATAGACCTTAGTCATCAGTTTAAAGAATAATTAAAGATGATTAAAAAGATTTGATGATTCGTTTATAAAGAATTAGGCCAAATTCTGCTGTAGGGTTTAGTGGAAAAGAATATATTTCAAGAAATATAAAATAGGAATTGAGCAATAGAAGGATAATTAAATCATCAGTAGAACCTTAAATCACAACCAATACTTTCAGAAATAATTTTATGAAAAAACAATAATTTAAAGAGGTTTCTGTGGACTTAAAAGAAGCAAAATAAATCAAAAATGAACATGTGATAAGAGTTTATAATTTAGAATATTAAAATGAATAATAAATAGTTTCAAAAAGAATCCATAAGCCTTTTTAGAAAATTCTTCAAAATCCAAATACACCAAAATGTTTGAATCAAAAAGAAAAGGTTTTCTTTGATGAAATTTAAGATTGGAAATCAAAAATGCAATAACATATGAAATAATAATAAAAAGTTAAAAAATCAGAACCTGTTTTGAAATTAATATCGTAAGATTGAATGTAATTTATTAAGAACAAAATTTAATCAAATTTTTATTTTATATATAAGATTTATGATTTCTACTAATTTAATCAATTTTTTACTTGCTCTAAAGGTGTAAAGAATTTCATTTAAAAGTTTTCAATTATAAAAAAGAAATAAAATCTTTTGTTTATTGGATTTCAAAAATAAAATCAAAATGAAAAAATGAGCATAAAATATGTTCAAATGATTTATAATTTGTAATTAAATTATCAATTACTCTCAAATAATTCTGTTTCTAACTCCATCACTAATTCAGTAGGAAGAAAATCTATTTCTTCTCCTACTTCATCTTGTATAGATTTATAAATTGGAGGTAAATTTTCTAAAAAATAATAGCCGTTTGCTTTATCCATTTTTAGAATTAGTCTCATAATTAATTTTTTATTTTCAACAAAAAGTGGTTCAAAACTAACAACTTCTTTAGAATCAATTAGTTATGCAATTTAGTATGTTAATTGTCCATATTTTTCTTTAAATTTTTATCCATCTTCATCACATTAATCAGTAACTTCAAGCATGTATTTCAAATTTTCACCTTCTAAATAGTATTATAAACTTAAAGGCATCTCACCATATTATTTAATTAGATCTAATTTATTCAATACAGCTAAGTATGGTAATGATAAATTTGCAGATACAGTAACACTAACAAGACTTGCAGAAATAAATGTATTCACTTAATAACAATTTAAACAATCAAATAATTACACTGCAACTAACGATATTTATAATGTTTAATTGTTTTTATTTGTCAATAACTATATAAGATTATAAATAGAATCATTTGCTAAATACAATTCAATCTATCCTATTTTAACATTAATTAATACCTGGAAAATCAAAAATTAAATAATAGTCTTTATACTTTATTAATTTATCAAAAAGCCAACTAATATTATCCAACAAAAATTAGAAGCAATATAACAAAGCTGCATTAGGCCTTAAATATTATTGGAATATACCCTAATTTAAATTCTTTCATCACATCCTCAACAGTAATAAGCTCTAAAATATTAATGCATAGATAATCTTCATATAAATCTTCATTAGCTGGATCCATATTAATTATGATAGATTTTCTTTATATTTATTACATCATTTAAGACAATCCTTTACAAAGAGTTGATTTGCCAACACCACTTGGACCAATTATTATGCTGCCATAATAATAAGGAATCATAAAATAAATTAATTTACTAAATTATAGTTCAAATTTTAGAAACTCAAATAATATTCATTTTATTTTTGCATGATTAAGTTTCAAATGAGTTCATCACAATAAGAATAATATGGGTCAAGTATTTTTTAGGAAAATTAATCCTCTTTTAATTCAATAGATGATTATTTGATTTTCTTATCAAATTCATCTTCTAATTCATTATATGTTTCATTTCTTGGGTAATATTAAAATTTAAAATCCAATTTTTCAAATTGTGGAAATTTATATAATTTTATTCTGTTTAAGCAACCTTATTCAAATAAGACAAGTAAATTATTCCCCCACTTTGATATTGGAATAATGGTTTTACACTTTTTTTCTTAAAAAGTATTACCAATACATTATCTATCTCCATCTTAGTCAACGAATTAAAACTAACTACCTAACTTGCCTCTAGTCATAGCCACTTTAAATATTAAATAAATTAGTTACTGTAAATAAATATCTGATCTCCATAAAATCCAGGTTATTTGTAAAATGGAAGGGAAAAAAAGCAACCATCCTAAATTTTTTCAATATTAAGTGATAATGTATGTCTATGCTTAATTTAATCATGAAAAATAAAATAGATACTCAATTAATTTGTTTCAAAAATACATATCAATTACTATTAATGATCATACCTTAACTTTGATTTATTGTTAAATTTTTATTAGAAGCTCAAATATGGACTTAAATTGTTAAATAACTAAATTGAATCTTAAAAAAGAATTAATAAATTGTAATTCTTTTAAAAATGGATTTTTTCAAATGTAATTGGATCAAGAGTATCAACAGACATAATTGAGTTTTATAAATGAGTTTAAGTGAGAATCAAATAATCTTTATCCATAAAATCAAATTTTATTAAATTGATTATTTCCATTTTTTTCTAAAATATTATGTCATCTTGTAATGAATATATCAAAATTTCTTTTTCTGAGAAAACAGCTATTTCCTCTGACTTTCTTCCAAAAGTAATGTTAACTACCTATATTGGTAACTCAAGATAATAAATTGGAAGCAGTGTATTTAAGGCAAATATATACATTTTATTTGATGAATCAATCATGGCAATAAAACTATCTTTATTCTAATTTAGTAATACATTTCATAAAAATCAACATTTATTATTTTACATTTATCCTTTTTTGTTAGCTGAAAAGGCTCTGACATTATTTATGGTATAAATTACTTCATAAAATTATAATATAAATAATTAAATTACTTTTTATGATATCTCAATTATTGATTAATTTGAACAGATCAATTATTAGTAAGGAATAAAATGAATTAACTTTAATTTTTAATTTCATAATCATGTAAAGTTTTCAAAATTTTCTGGTATACTATCTATTCCTCCAAGCCCTAGTTGATTCATTACATCAGCCATTGTAGATTCTATTTCTCCTAATAATTGATGAATTTCAGAGTCGCCCATACATTCTAAAAATTGAATTAATATTTTACCAGGTTTTTATAGATTTTTAATTTGATCTTCTTCTTCGACCTTAAACTTTTAGTATATAAAATCCTATACAATCATATTTATTGCATTTGGTATATACTCTTTAAGTTCATGCTTATTCTAAGAATCAAAAAGATGATTTTTACCATCATTTAATTTACTATATATTGGAATGGTTCTGGTTACTGCTTTAATATTTTTATGCTATATCTAATTATTTCCTTAACTTATTAAACTGATAAATCTTTGTTTGATATAATTTTTTCTTTGATTTTTTATTTAACAGAGGCTTACAGCATATACAATTATTGAAAAAACCCTTTTTCCATCAAAGCAAGCATACTCTCTTCAAATATTTCTTTTGATACTCCCAATCTTTATAGTAGTTCTGCTTATGATTTCTCTAATAGCTCTTCGGTGTCTTCATTATACTTCAAAATGTATTATTTATATTAATTAAGTTGTTAATTAGATTTATAATTCCTTCTTTATTTTCTATTTGCCAATGTTATTCGAATATATTCATCTCCCGCAACCTCTATAGTATATTATAAAATATCAACAATTGTTTATGGTTCTAAACAATTAGTATTGGGTATATAATTCACCCTTATTAAATTAGAGATACTTTCAAATGCATTCATTGCAGCTGTAAATCTTGTTTACATTGTGTCCTTTTCTAAATCAAAAAACTTAGATTTTTTATCGTTTTTATTTTAATTGTCATACATTGTATTTGATGTATTTAAAGGACCTTAATATTCTTAATCTTCCATAATGCTTTTATTTTATTATTTTCTATAGTATACTAATCCAGAGCTATATTTATTTTACAATTAGATTACCTAATAATAAAACCTGAAGTGATTAAACTTATAACAATCAATTTGTGTTGTTTATAATAGGAGAAAAAAGCACCCATAAATAGACTTTAATTATTATTTTATTATTTGGATAAGCAATTAATTAAATAATATTAATTTAATAAAATGGGGCTTTGGGCATGGACACTAAATTAAATGTTAACACCAAAGTTTTGGACTTTAGTGAAAAGAGAAGGTACTCACTACATAAATAATTAGGGTTTTGGTAAACATACATAAGAATGCACAGAGCATAATCTAGATCTAGTCATTATGCTGGAGGATAGAATGGGCCAATATAATGCATTGGACAAGATTAATTTGGAAATAAATATTATGAGGATTTTGATGTTACACGTAAGCAATTTATAGAAGTTGATAGATCGTAATCAAAGAAGGTGGGTTGAATATAATGACTACTTTAATCCATGGCACACTCTTGGGGATAGAGTACCTCCTGTTTGGCATGGTTGGATGGCTCATGTATATGATGAAGCCCCAACTAGAACTGGTCATTCATATTTTGTTCAGCCCTTCTATTAATAACCAGCTACAGACAATTAATCTCATACTCCAAATCACTACTTTCCATAAGGAGCTATGTAAAATTTGAATAGATTGGAATTCATGTACTATAATATAAATATTGTATCTGTTTAGCAAGTATCACAGAAATAGAAGAGCAGCTCCATTTGAACCTGGATAAATCTCAGGATTTTAAGGAAAAAAATTAGTTGTTGAAAAATAAACATATTCAGAAGATGTAATGGTTAGTAGGGAATGATTATTTAAAAGAATATTACGAAGTAATTAATTTTACAAATTATTTTAAAATATTAATTTATGGATTAATAAGAAGAATAACAAATTAGCAGTGTGACTTTTAAAGATCTTGGTGTTTGTGAAGAGTTGTGCTTAGCATGTGAGAAGTTAGGATATAAAACACCTACTCCGATTCAATAATAATCATTACCGTATACCTTAACAAAAGTAATTCAATATCAAACTTTTAGAAAGACATAATTGGCTTGGCAGAGACAGGGTCTGGTAAAACCTTAGCATTTGGACTTCCAATATTGTAGCATCTATTAGCAAATCCATAGCCTTACTATGCTTTAATATTATCTCCTACTAGAGAACTATGTGTTTAAATTTAAGAACATTTCCAGGCAATTGGAGCTTCTATAGCATTAAAATCTGTAGTTATTTTGGGAGGAATGGATCCTCTCGCTTAAGCTAAAGCTTTAGCATAAAAACCACATGTTATTATTGGTACACCAGGAAAGATTCTTTATCATCTAGAAAATACAAAAGGATTCAATTTAAAGCAATTAAAATTTTTAGTTTTAGATGAAGCTGATAAATTGTTAAATATGGATTTTGAAAGAGAAATTAATGCTATTCTAGATATCATCCCAAAAGAAAGAAATACTTATTTATTTTCAGCCACAATGACAAATAAGGTTAGTAAATTATAGAGAGCCTCTCTTAAAGATCCAGTCAAAATTGAAGTTTCTACAAAATATTAGACTGTTTCTACTCTCTAACAAAATTACCTATTCATACCTGATAAATACAAAGAAACCTATTTAGTTTACTTAATGAATGAATTAGCAGGAAATACCTCAATTGTATTTGTAGCAACATGTTAAATGGCAATCAAGATAACTTTACTACTAAGAAATCTTGGATTTTAAGCTATTGCAATTCATGGATAAATGAGTTAAGCCAAAAGATTATCATCTTTTAATAAATTCAAATCAAAGGAATCTAATTTATTAATTGCTACAGATGTTGCAAGTAGAGGTCTTGATATTCCTTTTGTTGATTTGGTAATTAATTTTGATATTCCATAAAATGCAAAAGAATATGTTCACAGAGTGGGTAGAACTGCAAGAGCTGGAAAATCTGGAAAAGCTATTAGTCTTGTAACTTAATATGATGTTGAAATGTTTCAAAAGATAGAATAATTAATTGAAAAAGAATTGCCTCTATATCCTTTAGAGGAATCTGATGTGATGATCTTTTATGAAAGAGTTTAAGAGGCTAATGTATTTAAATTCTTATAATTTTATAGAGAATAGCAACTTAAGAATTAAAAGATTTATTGGAAAAAAAGGTTAAGAAGACAGCAGTTGATGAAGATGATTTGGATGATAAAAAGATCAAATAAATCAATAAAAAAATATAAAAGGATTCCAAATAAAAAAAGGCTGGTTTCAAAAAAAGATTTAAATTAGATGTTTGATTAATAAATTGCTTATTATTTTGCCAACTTATTTAAATTGATTTATTTTATACTTATAATTTTATTCTTCAAATCTAAATAAAAATCAAAGAGAGGCTTAATTTTTCTTTTAAATTGTAAGAAAAAGATATACCATATAGGATCATAAAGTGAAGCTTTTGAAACAGAAAATAACTTTCCAAAATATTTGATAGAAAATATAGATATTCATCAAACTTTTTTTATTGAAGTAAACAGATGGAAAGCAAAATATAAAATATAGAAGTATAATCAGATAAATGCTTTATCTTATGAGAAAGGATTTCCAAATCTGTGTTTTAAATTTACTCTTTTTTATTTTTATTGGACTTTGGAGGGATTCTTGATCAAAATGAGATAAAGATTCTTGATCAAAATGAGATAAAGAATCAAATTTTGATAAGAGATTTAAATAAATTTAATTAAATTTGTCAAGAAAGTAAAATTATTAACCTTTAGACTAAAACATAAATATTTTTCTCTAATTTTCAAAAATATTAATTACTTTATCTAAAAATTACTCTCATTTCATTTTAAAAATGCTCAGTCTAAATAACTTTGTTTAATTTTTGTAATTTAGAATTTTTTTAAATTAAAAGCTTAATTAAATCTATAAGATCAAAAATTTTACTAAAATTTACAAAATCTATATCCTTTTTAATGCTAGTTTCTACACCTTCATTAACTGTTTCAGCAAAAATTACATTTAAAAAAATAAATAAAGTTCTTGATGAGAAAAGAATTATCAAAAAATTATTTCTTCAATTTAAAAGAATGAGAAATAAAAAATTGATCACAGAGGGATTCGAACCCTCGCCCTTGCGGACTGCAGCCTGAATGCAGCGCCTTAGACCACTCGGCCATATGATCGCATATTAAGTAATTATTCAAATAGATGATTATAAATTATATCACTTTCTTATTCTAATTTTTTGCATTATCTTGTCTGATTCGGATGGATCCCATTTTCTTAATATTAATTTCATAATATGTAATGGTAACCAACTGATTGTTACTAAAATTAAAACATTTATGATGAATTTTTAATCGATATCAGCTAAATTTATATAACTCTATAAGAAAATAATTGATCCTGCATAAACTACTAAAGTAAACAATTCAGCAACAAACATTACAAATCTAAAGTTGTTCACTTCTGTAAAAACATTTAATAATTCAGCTACTATTAAACTACTAAATGTTACTGTAACTAAATCAAGAAATGTATTTTGAAAGACAGCAAAACTATATACCATAATAACAGCAGCTAAATGTTATATAAATTATTACCTTAATAAATAGATTTAAATAACCAAAGTAAAAATGTCTTAACTGTTAATTCTCTACCTTTTAGTAAGGCTTTATATAATTCTGTATATTCCAGAGCTTTTTCTTTAGTTACATCTTAATCAAAAATTAAACAAAATACAGGAAACATAGTATAAACAGTGGCATATCCTAACATCAACCAACCATTATAAATAGGAATAGCAACAAAATAAAATACAATGGAAAATATAGTTTATATTGATGCAATAACTAATCCTCTATGCATAACAAATTAAGCCATTACAGAGGTTCTCTTATAAGCCAATCTACCATGCCATAATAATAAAACAGCTAAATGCTTAAACTTTAATATGGAAAAATCACTAGCGAGGGCTGCTTATTTTCCTTCTTTTCCAACTATTCCAACACCAACATCTGCAGCTTATATCATAGCAACATCATTCCCACCATCTCCAATAGACAGAACTGTCTTTTAAGTATGCTCTTTTATCAATTCAGTAACTTAAGCCTTTTAGGTTGGTGAACATCTGCAACAGACTACAGCAGGAGCATTACAAGCAACATGGAAAAATGCTGTATGTTGAAATTCAAGAGCAACTTTTAAGGATTATCCATCTATAACTAGAACGCTATTATTTTTTAAAGCAAATTAATTTAGCTCATTTTGGAGGATTAAAGAGTCTTCAATATCCTTAATTACAAACATTTCCTAAGTAGGGCTTTTCAATCCAGTTGAGATTGCTATACATTAAGCTGTTTCTACTTTATCTCCAGTTAACATCCATATTTGTATTCCTGCATTTTTTAATGATTCCAATGTTGCATAAATATCTTCTTAAAGCATATCTTCAACACCTGTTAATCCCAACAATTCCATATCATTTTCATAAAAGTCCAGTACTTTGGAACAACGAGCCTCTCTATCTTCCATTTAATTTTTTGCTTTTTCATATTCTGTTGTAAAATTTCTTAAATCATCTTCGGTCAAGTATTTTTAAGTTATCACCAAAGTTCTTAATCCCTCTCTACTTAAACTTTCACATTCATCCATCAAGAATCCTCTCTAAACTTCTGGAACTTTTTGTTTCATTACTGAATCTGCTCCTTTTAAATAAAAAATAGCACCTTTTTATCCCTACATTTGTAAAATAATACCCATTCTTTTTCTTTCTGATGTAAAGGGAAATTCATATAATATTTTATATGTTTCTGGTGTTCCACCAGCATTTTAAATGTTTATTTCAGTTAACTATCTATTTACTAATTTAAATCCAACATCTTCTGCAAAATTAACCAACGCAATTTCATCTGGACTACTTGCTTAAAAGGTTCTTTATCCTTCTTCTTCTACTGGCGTAACATTATGACATAATGATAATGCTGAAATCAAGTCTCTGACTATTTAATCTTTATTTCTTTTGAAAGGTTTTATTTTTTTTCCTCCTGATTCTTGATATTTCTTTAAAATATCTTCCATAGGATATTTACTATTTGAACAATGTTTTTTAATCATTTTCCTTAACAAACCTAATGTTTCAACTGAGAAAGACATTCTCTCTAAAGATAGTTTTTTAAAAATCATTGTATTTTAAGTTAGTGTACCTGTTTTATCAGTTAAAACATAAGAAATTCTTCCTAATTCTTCTGGTATTGTACTATTTCTAGCAATTGATCCTTCAATATCTTTATCATTTGATATGCAATATGAAAAATATAATTTGGAAAAATCTAAATTAACTCTTAAAGATATTGGTATGATTGAACTTAGCAATAAGACATGTCTAAATAATTGAAGCAACCATTCATTTTAAAATCCACTACTTAATACAATAGTGAATGCAGTACATACTAACAACACACACAATAATTTTGCCAATTAATTTAATTCATCATCCAATCTTCCCATTTTAGTTCTAGGTTCTCTTGAATTTAAAGCAGATCTACATTCTTTTCCAGTGTAAACCACCACAGCCTATATCTTCCCTGAGGCCAAGAATGTATTACACCAAAGAGTGTTGTCCAATGATAATGCTTCTCTTTAGCCTTCTCCACCACCAACCTCTAACTTAAATAAACCTTTAAAATCGTATATATCTAATTTAGGGGGTTCACAAGTTATTGAAGCATTAAGAGTTGTTAGATTTTTATTTTAACCATAATTTTAAGTATGTCTTATAGCTTTTCTTAACTTCCAGTCTGTTTCTCCGTCTAATTAATCTGTCCTTATGAAAACTGTTCCTGTAACATCATTTGTGTGGAGCAAAATTAAATCGGCTGGTATTCTTTAATTTGCATGAACTTCAATAATGTCTCCAACTTTTAGTTGCCAACTCTAAAGTTATATTGTTTTATCTTTTCCAATTTAAGTGTATTCTTGTGAATTAGCCTCTTTATCTCTTTTATACCTTTAAAAATCATCATATGCTTCTTTAAGTAATGTTAGGATCAATACGAATGCTAATGGAGCAACATAACTAAATAAAAAACCAACTTTTAGCAAAGGTACGAATTACGACAGTGTTATCAACAAAAAGATTAGATTAAAAAAGTATTTAAACTATTGATAGAGCACCATCGGAACAAATGACAAAATATTGTACTTTTGATTCTTTACTATGTTTGGCATATTATTTTAAGGATATACCTTACCATCCAAATAAATTATTCTTTATTCAACTTCTTTATCAGGAGGCTTTAGTAAATCATTAAACTAATTCTTAATTTTTTCGAAAAACCCTTATGTTTGGATTTGGGGTTCCTATGGTTCAATTAATTATTGTTTAAGGGGTTCCTGTCCATTATTGTCAAATCGCCAGCCTTAAACAGCTTTTTGATTGGTTCCAGCTAATTCAAACTCCATCAAGAAATTGAAATTGATTTTTATATTAATAAGAACTAGTTATTACTATGTTTAACACTTCTTCTGGTTAAAGAATTAGATATGTTAAAGAAGCATCAGGAGCAAAGTCAACTACATAAAGTTTTAAATATAAATCTAAAGAGTGTGATTTATCAGCAAATGATAGCACATCATCAGCACATCTTAAACCTTTAATTCAAGTGTACGATCTAATTAATAGTAATTAGCAAATAATCTTATAATTAACATTTTGCAACAGCCTTACCTTTGCGTAAATTAGCTAGTCCATAAAAGTAAGCCCCAGTAGATGGAAGAATTGTTGAGAGAACATACTCATCAGTTAGAACAAGTAATTATGTAAAGCGTTCATCTGTTGCTCCAGAAAAAAGAGTAGAAAATAAAAGTGTTATTTATGAGAAAAGATCAATAAAAATGCCTATATGTCCTCCACCATCTACAAATGTTATTGAAGAGAAGCTTGAAGATGATTAAATATAAGGTCAAGGTAGTGAGATGCAAAGTCAAAAAAGAAGGAAGAGCATTACATTTTTTGAATTAACAGCTAATACTAATTAATAACAAGATAATGAGGAAATTGTAGAGATGATGTCGAAATATTCAGAAAAAGAATTAGTAAACTTAAATTTAAATTTAGAAATAAGTATAAAATATAAGAGTAATTATTAATGGATAATTTGATGAAAGAGAAATTCATGTAGACATTAGTTCAATTCCTTATGAATGGAAATTAGAATAAATTGCTTAATAATTAAATGAAATCTATAAATAGTAATTTAATTAGAGTCTTCGCAATCCTGCTATTTCAGTACTCATAGGAAAGATCTAGACAAAAAAGTTAAGTAAAGATATGAAAAAATATGAACTTGTTTTAATGTCTTTAAAAGGATAACTTAAAGAATCTTTGATAGTGTTAGAAGATAGTTATTGAAAATATAGTAATGCTTTAAATTAATAATTCAAACTTTAATTAATGAATCTTTTATTCACATATATTCGATAGATCTAATTATAGAAGGAATATCTATTTCTTTATTCAACCTTAAAATTGAGCCATTCTAATTTTCAATAAGTTGCATCCAATATGGACACAATGTTATTAATTAATCAATATAAGCTTTTATTTAATTTTCATCTAAAATAAAATGTTTTAAACTATTATAACTGTATTTAACAACATTTGTTAAAAACATATTTGATACATCTCTAATATGATAATATTAATGAATTAATGAGGATAGAGCAATTAATTATTATTTTGGTGTTTTACAATCAGTAAGTACAATCTCTGGTTTCTTTTTTGATTTCAATTTTTCAATTAAATTTTAACTCACTTTAGAATATATTGGCTGTTTATAGATTTCACTTTGAATTTCATTTTCATAAGTTTATTATTAAATTTCCTTTTTTAAAGAATTATTCATTTCAAATTAATCATTTAAAATTTATTAAAATGGATTTTTGGGCAAAATGGCTAAACCAATATATTCTCCATTTTTCTAAATATATTTAAACATTAATTATTGGAAATAATTTAAACGCTCTACCAACTAAGCATGAGATTTAATATTTGCCTTAATCGTTAAATCACTCTTATCTTCTTTTATTAATTTATCATTCAAAGACCAATTAACATCATAAGCATTTGGAAAGATTTCCAATATTTATTAAATGATTTATTAAGTGATTTATATTTTAGAATTATGGCTCAATAATTCATAAATTGTATTAAAGAAAGGCGGTTTTTGTTAGTTTTGAAGAAATAAAAGAATTTCATCAATTTCTTTGAAAAAGTGACATAAATTGGAATATTTACTATGCATTAGCATTTTATCGATAGAAGTAATCAAATGAAGATTAGAGAATCGTTCCCTCAATGATACCTTAGCCAAAATTGAAGACACACTTTCTGATTTTAAAGGTGTCTTTTTTTTCTTTTCATTTGATTTCTTCTATTATAGGTTTTCAAAATAGTCAATTCCATTAAAAGTTGAGGAATCCTCATTTAATTATTATACATTGTCGATTGAATTAAATGTACTCTAAATTTTTACTCTTCTTTTTGGTTCATATGTGTCATCTGGTTCTTTGTAGTTATTTTGTAATTTTGCCATTTTAAGTACTATATGGGATATAAACATTTACTTTATTATGGTCTTTTTGTTTCTTTTTAGTAGTTAGTTTCCATCTGAAATAATTGTTAAATATATTCAATTAAAATATAATGTTCAAGTATTTTAACAAGGAGAAGGAAAAGAAAAAATCTTTGATTATATAAAATGTAATGTCAGTTGAAGAATTTTTTAATCGAGGGGAATATGAAATTTCAAGTGATATTTGGAAAATGAATACTACTCAATTAGAAGAAACAATAAATAAGTAAGAGAAATTCATAAAGCATTTATAAACGTTATATTAATAAGTATAACTAATACGTTATCTTAGTAATTAGAGTTTATAGAAAATGATAAAACAAAATAAGAGGATAATCTTAGGAAATTAAAAAATCATATGGAAGAACTTGAAATAAAAAATGGTATATAGTATTAACTAATTAGAAAGTAATGTTTAATAGAAAGAATTGATAGAGGAAAAATATAAAGAAATTTATTTGAAATTTTAACCAAAGGAAAATAAGAATTTCTCAACATAAACAGAAGGAAATGATTAACTTGAAGAAGAAGTTAACAGACTTAGAAATTAATGTGAAAAAATGTGTGAAGAAATTTAAAGATTTTAGGAGGAGAATGATGATCTATCAGTGGCATTGGAAGCTGAAAAGAAACATAAAAGTTCACTTTAAAATTAAAATAATTAAAAAATATAATAGTTGGAATTGAATATATAATAATTACAACAAGAACACAATAAAGAACTTGAAATATTGTAAATTACGTTAGCTAATAATTTTTCGGTTGATGTCAATTCCAAAACTAAAGAATTAGAGAGTAAAGTATTGTAAGAGAAAATTAAATGTGATTAAAAATAAAAAGATTGTTAAAGATTAGAAGAGGAGATTAAAGAATTAAAATTACATTTAGAACAATAAACAACAAAATATGAATAAAGAGAAGGTAAATTAAAATTATTAGAATAGAAGAGAACAAGAGATAAAAATACAATTTAGAAATTATAATGTGATTTTTAATAAAGTAAATAACATTTATCAGAATAAAATATTAAATTAATAAATGAAATTAGTAAAGCTAATAATGAAATTTATGAATTAAAATAAAAATTAGAAAAATAATAGATTTAATAAAAAGAAGTTGTTGATTAATTCGAGATTTAAGAAAAATAGCTTAAAATTTAATAATTAGAATTAATTATTTATGAATAACAAAATACAATAAACATGTTGGAAAAGTATATATATATTTTATATATATAGAAAAATTGATTAAGTAGAATCTTAATCAATTATTAAGATATCAGAATTGGAGAAAATTATAGAATAATTGAATATAAAAAGAGAATATGCTAAAAAAGAAATTACAGAATTATCTCAAAAATTATAGAATGTGCATTAAGATTTAAATACAAGTTCATCTAGTAGACATCAAGCTAAATCATCAAATATTGGACATAATAAATAAAAGTTTTTATTATTTCCAACACTTAAATAAATGTTAAATGATGTTAGAAAAAAAGAAGATAATAGCTATAAATTATATATGTAAGCTATTATGACAGAATTCAAAAACTAAAAAGAAATAATTGCCTTGGAAAGTGCTTTAAATGATGTTTCAAGAATGACTTAAGATATTATAGATCTTTTAGAAGAAATGGGATTAATTTGACTGAGATGTTCTTTTGGAATTTTTGTTATTAATTATATTTATATTATGCATTTAATATTATTGGATTCTATAAATAATATATTTTTCATTTAATTAAACTCATTAGATTCTTTACCTTCTCAATTTCAGTAAATAATTCATTAAATTATGCTAATGTTAATTCAAAATGAGTAGTTTCTTCAATCATGTTTTTATCAATTGTTTTGATTTTAAGCTATAAGAAACAATCACTATAATTTTCTTTAGAACTGTTTGCAGTAGCAACTACAATAATATAATGAATAAACTTGAAAATCTCCATTCCACATCTAACATCTTCTTATTGGCAATGAATTCTTATACGCTCATAAATATTGTAATTAATTATAATTAATATTATGTAAGTATTAAGATTTGATTAGTTAGTTAACAGAAGTCCATAAATCGAAGAGCTTTGTAAATGTATGATTTGTTTGGAAATATTCATTGATCCAATGTGTTGTGAAAGTTGTGAAAATCATTTTTGTTAAACCTGTTTAACAACTTGGAGTTAGAACCAATCAGCACGAAGTTGTCCTGTTTGCAATAAACTTAAAGAAAAATAAGGTTAACGTATTTTAAAGAATATGCTTAATGATCTTGATGTTTATTGTTGTTATAAATAAAATGGATGTCTAGGAATTTTGAAATATTCTGAGTACTTCTTTCACATTAAATCATGTCAATTCAAATAAGTAAAATGTGAATATGAAGGATGCAATTTGGATATTCTTTTAAAAGATAAGAATCAACATGATAATATTTGTCCTTTTAAACTTTTATAATGTAAATGGTGTTAATAAGAGATATTAAGAAAACAACTAGAACAACATGAATTAAATGAATGTTTATAAAGAAAAGTTCAATGTGGTAAATGCTCATCTGAAGTTCCAATTCTAATTATGAAAAATCATATAGATACATGTCCAGAAAATATTGTAACAATTATATTTATTATCTTTTATAGTATAAATGTTAATTATGTTTATCTGATATAAAGTTAAAAGATATAGAATTACATGATAAAAATGAATGTCCTTAAGTTATTATCAAATGTTCAGGATGTTAAGAACAACTTAAAAGAATTTTAATGATATAACACATGTAAACATGTTAATTAGTAGAAATTGAATGTGAGAATTGTTAATAATAGATATAAAGGAAAGATTTAAAGGATCATACAATTTCAAAATGTTTTAAAACTCTTAAATAAATAATCTCAGATTAGTAAAGGTAGATTAAAGGTTTATATACATTCTGTGAAGAACTTTCATAATAAGTTAATTTATTATCTTAATTGTAATAATAAATTAAATTTTCTAAATATTTAAAACATAAGGATATAGATGTTATTAATAATGGTAAAATTGTGCAATTAAATTTAAATGAAAATAAAAAATTTGACAGATTTATTGCTATTAAAAATTCAAAAAATAAACCTATTGAAATTGAATTTCTTTATATCTCAGATTTTAATGTCTCTGTTGGAATTACATAAAGATAAAATATTTTTAATCCAAAAGATTTTTCAAAATTTAATCATTAATCTTATTTATTTTGTGCAAATGGCATAGTATATATTGATGACAATAAAGAGGAGAACGGGAAAAAAAAAAATTTTGGTTTCGTTATTGGCCAAAAATTAGAATTGCTTTACAACGATCAATTCGTAAGCATAAAAAATTGCACTACTTAGTAATATCTTAAATATAATATTTCTTTTTAATACTTTGATAAAGATGATATTGAACTTTATCCTGTTCTTTGTTTAAGAAATAATTTTGATAAAGCTCGTATTTTAAATTGAAATTTATCAATATATATCTAAGATAATAACATATAAACTCATAATTATTAATCTTCATCATCATCCTCTTCCTAAAACTCCATTTAATTATATTTATTGATATTTATATTTTAATCTTTTTAACCAGATGTCAATACTCTTTTTAATATTACATAACCTATTAAAATCACAAAAACCAAAAATGCAATTATTATTAAATATAAAAGGATGTCATTCAAATTAAAGGATATTGGACATTAAGTTTCAATAGGTCCTAAATCTAAACTTTTTTAATTATACAATAATTTACCCTCCTACACATTATGTTAATTTTATGTATCCTTATGTTTTGAAAAATGTTTTTCCTGGTTCACAATAATCAGAAATATTTACAATAGGTAAACAATCTCCTCCTTCTAATTAACTAGTATAACCTTAGGCACATATCCAATCTTCTCTTTTACAAGGACAAGGTTCTATTATTTTTTTGGTTATCATCTATTTTGGATTAAAACATTCTGAATTTTCTTTTTTCCTATAGTATTTAGTTTAAGAACCATCAATACATTTAGAATTCCAAATATCATAATCTAAATTTGATTTACATTCTCTTTAAAATATATCACTAAAATCTAATTTTAAAATTATGCCTTCCCCTTTATCTGTTTTACCATAGATAAGAAAATATCTAACTGTTCCAGATGCTTCAGTAACTAAATTTTATGCCATAAATAAATCATCATAAATGATTTTTGTTTTCCATGTCTTCCCATAATCTATAGAATAAATAATTTCATTAGTGGGTTCATAATCTTTTGCCATAACAATAATTCCTCCAAAATCTGATATTTCAAAGACATGAGATCCTTTTCTTACTTCAATCCAATTCTATCCACCATCTGCTGACATATATGTATTTTATTCTTATGTTATAAATAATCCAACATTTCCAACACCTAAAACAATTCCTGGTGCTTAATCTACTGTATATATAGTTTATCTATATGATTCAGTTCTTCCAACAAAATGCAAAGAACATTCTCCTCCACATTCAATAATGTTCCCTTCTGAATCATATTTTGGAGCCTTAATTGATTCCCATTTCTTTCCTCCATTAAAACTTATTACTGTTGATTTATCTTCTTAATCTCTTTAATCATATGTATTAGCAACATAAGTTGAAGTTAAACCTAAAAGTTTTTCAAAATCACAATTTCCATCTTAAGTTGATCTAACATTATTTGTTAATACAATTTAAAAATCTTATCCTATTTAATTACTTATATAAACATTAGTTATTGATTATTCTTATTAATAATGGGAAACAGATAAATATATTCTACCATTTTCAGTATCTAAGACAGTATAAGAATACTCTTTTAAAATTTATAATGGCAATTCTACTAATTTCTCTTAAAATTCTTCTAATTTAGAATGTCCATAATGTAATTCATATCCTCCATTATTTGAAGATGTTAAAACAAAAAGATATTTAGAAGTTTAATAATAACCTTAAGCACCAATCATTAAAGTATGATAATTAGCAAAATCATCAGAATAGATCAATTATGTTTGATTTTCATATGAAAATAATACAATAGATCTTTCATCTGGAACTGTAATGTCTTCTATAATTTTATCCCATGCTGCTTCTCTACAATTCTTAAATGATGGTAACCAAGTCTTTGCTCCATCTTCAGAATAAAACAATTAATTATTATATGGTTCTTTACAATCCATATCAAAATTATCACATTATTATTTTTTAAATGCTAGCATCCATTTCCAACTCATTTTATTTAATCTAAATCCATAAAATCCATCAGTATCAATTTCTTCAAAATTTTCACCACAATCATTTGTTCTATAGCTTTTCTAACCATTTTGACCAAATAAAAATATGACACGTGAATCTGCAGGAGAAATCTAAATATCTTCAAATAAACCCTCAATTTAATTCCAAACAGTTCCATTACTTTAATATACATGATGAGCTTCTGTAATAAAAAATATTGTTTTTTCTTCTTCCAAACCTTAAAATTAAGGTATAGTTTCATCTTCTCTAGTATATATAATAGAAGCTCCACACCATGATATTTATGTAATAGGTCTTTCTACAATTATTGCCCAAGTGAAGACAAGTAAAAAAGGTAATAAACGAATTTCAAACATAATCGTGTTTAATTTTAATAATTATAATTCAACAACATTGTGAACTTTTTTTATTTGTATTTCCAATTACCTAGGTTGATGTAATCTATCCTATTTTCATATTTTAGCCTGATTCTGCTTTTATAGAATTTTAACTTTTTTCTAGAACATTTTTTGCAATTGTCAAAAAGGATTATTCAATATTGGTTGACAATTTAGCAGATGTTTCTATAAATTGTAATTTCAATTGTTTAGCTTAAATTAATAATATAATGTACCTAAAGCTTCACCTTCTTCGTATGATACAGCTCTTTTGTCTTCTACATCACACTTATTTCCAACTAGCATTCTTATCACATCTTCTTAAGCATACCTATGTTAATTTAATAAGTATACTTATCAATTTCAGACATCCACATTTTTACAGAGTCGAATGATTCTCTATCTGTTATATCATAAACAATAATTATTCCATGTGCTCCACTATTTTCAACATATTCTTTACCGATAATAACTACATGTGATTGTTCTGAATCTGTCTTAACCTGCTGTATCCCACTAAGAATATGAAATATATTTTTACAATCTATAACTTTATATTTTTATTCTCTAAGAATATTGATTTGATTTTCTACTTGTTAAAATAATAATTTACAAAATCTACTCCTATTGTGTTATAAAAATTATTAGTAAAATTATTATCGACATATCTCATCAACATGCAAGATTTTCCAACTCCACTAGTACCAATAAGTAATAGTTTAAATAAGTGATCACTAATATTAGTAAATAATTATACTATTCAGTGCTTTCTTTATTTTACATTTCTTTAGGTTTATTCAGAAAATTTAATTTTAAAAAAATAATACAATTATAATTAATAATATTCCTTATTTTAATATTTATGTTGTTTTAATACTGTTCTTTCACCATTTTATCATCTCTCTCTTCAAATAGTTAAATAATCCAAAAGGAATTAATTATTTAAAATTCTAATTTATATTAAAATATTTACTTCATAGTTTTCTTCTCTGATTCTGAAAATCTCTTCAATTACTGTAAGCAACATAAAGAAGTCTCCAAGAATTTCTGGTTATTTTTATAATTCTTTAGATTGCAACATAAAGAAGATAGTTGATTTTATGTAAAATCTATATATTTTATTATAATCTCTACCCTAAATATGAAACAAATAGAGATGAATGCAATTAATTAAACTGATTTAAAAATCCAACAATTCCCATTAATAAACAATTTGGTTCATATTATAATTGATTATCTTTTGCTTTCTTCACAAGACAATTTAATTTTTAATCAAAATCCATTAAAGGTAATTAATGCAAAATCACTAAAGCTAAAATTAATGGAGTATGTCTAAAAAATATTATATAAATTAATACTCAGGCATTTCACATAAAGCATATATTTTTCTAATTGGATCAGATAATCCAACATAATTAAATAATTTTGTTAGATCAAAGAGTAAATTATTTTCCATTTAAGTTTTAATATCTGATTCCATAGTGGAATCGTATTATCTATTTATAAAATCATTAATTATAGTATTATTTAAGGTTTCTAAACATAAGAATAATTTAGTTGAACCTACTTTCGCTTTCATTTATAAAACCAAACAAATAAGTTTTCTTAAATTTATAAATTATCCAATCTATTAAAGAGGATAGAGTATTTTAGAAATAAGAGGTCTAAATTATTTTGTCAATTATTTATAAACCTTATCATAGTTTTCATCATAATTTGTAAATAATCTAACTTGTTTAATTAAAGTATCAATAATATTTCTATTCTCTTGGTTTAATTCAGTCTTTAATATTTTTACAATATCTTTAACTGTTTTTGATAAATGTTAACTAATAAGTAAATCAATTCCATTTAATCCACTAACACCTATACATTTTAATATTAATCCAATAGTTTTTAAATTTAATACATCTCTTCCATTACTATCATAAAAACCTAAAGTTGATTCTACAAATACTATTTCTTTAGGATTTGTAATTAATATGATTTAATTTAATAATCTTCCAATAAAATTAATAGCACCATATTATTTACTTTTTTCATCTGGCATTGGAATATCTTCATCATAACTTAATTCTTCATATTCTTTATTTCCAGTAATTAAACCTTTAAGTTCCATTGAAGTATAACATTCTATCAATCTATTAAACTCTTCAGTAAACATTTTTAATCCTTATGCATTAACAAAATCTTGAATTTGTTCCATGGCTAATTTGAAACCATTAATTTCCTCACCTAATTTTGATAATTTTGTTTGAAAATCTGAAACATCTTTTTTTGGGAATATTAATTAAGAATCAAGAATTTTATGAATTAAAGCCATTAATTCTTTTCTAATACCTTAATCAAGCATTTCTCTAGGATTAACTTCTATGGATCCTAACAAATATGGATCAACTGTTAAAATCGATTCTGTAAAGACAGAAATTGAATTAGTTAATTTAGCTATTTGAGTTCTATCTTCATATTAAGCATAATCTTTCAATTCTATTTTATTAATCCTTGAAGGAAGTGGTTTTAATACAGATGTAATTAATGTAATAATATCTTAAAGTACTTCGAAAACTTAAATAGGTATAATTTAAAGAACTTCCTTAACAAATTTGACTAGTTCTCCAGAATAATATTTTGTAACACTATTTAAATCTGGACTTCCAGCTTAGATAATACGAATAGTAGGAGTATTTAAAATAGAAGATAACTTCTAGAAAGTAGTTTTTAGACTGAGAGCAGAATGTGGATTACTCTAAACTTTAGCTTGCATCAAATCTTTATATCCTTTTAAACATTACCATGAATAACTAAAATCTGCAATATATGAAATATGTGAAGGTAGAGTACTTTTAATGTGAACAATTTTGACCATATGTGTTAAATCTTTTCTAGTTTCATTCAAATAATGTTTAACTTATATAGATGTTGATATTTATGGATATTATTCAATATCTTCTAATGCTTAAATTAATCTTTAAATTTTTCTTCCAGCATGAGTACTATCACTATAATTTAAAGATTATATTTAATTGCCCATTTCAGTAAACCATTGCATATAAGATTCATCAGCTTTAACTTTTCCCAAAGCTTTTCCACTAAAATAATCAGCTAATTCTTGCATTCTCTCAACACATTTTACTTTATCTTCATCCCAATATTATTGTTTATTATCAATAATTGCTTTAATTGCTTTCAATAAACGATTTTCAAATTTTGAACTCTATAAAAGTAACTACAAAACTTCCTATTTATCAATTTTATTAAATATATCTTTTGCTTTTGAAATACTTGTATTAGAATGAAGTAAAATCCATCTAATAGCTATATTACTTTCTCTAACACAATTCATTAAAGATGATATTTTATCTAAAACAAATTCTTATGTCATTTATCCTTCATAAAGGTACTCTTAAACTTTATTAATCTATTCTTTAAGTTTGGTTTGATAAAATGTTCCTAATTCTTAAATATAATCAAAATTAATTGTATTTTTTATTGCTTCTCTAGCTGCAGGATATTAATTCCATTAATCAGATAAATCAACAAAGTAACCCAAATAAAATGATATCACCCATTAATCATAAAAATGCTTGTCTACAATTTCTCTCATTTTAGCCTAAATTCTTATAATTTTTTTGATACCTTTTTATTATTTAAAATAGTTGGAGTAAAAAACAATAAAACATATAACATTGATCCTTATACTGATAAAGCAATAGATCTATGATCAGCTGATGGATAAATGCTAGTATATTTATAGATATCTTCATCTTTGATAGAATTAATAACTTCTGTTATCAATTTCTCTGGTAATTAAAATCTAGCCATATATTCTTCAGGATAAAAGGCAGGACGAGCCCCATTTTTTTAATATCCAGTTTCAGCACACAATTTTGTTACTTCATTAATGAACTCAATTGCTGTTTAACCTCCCTTATATCTATAATAAGATATAATTAATTTTTCTCTAGCTTTTCCTGGGATTAAGATATCCATTAATAAAAGCATGCATCCATATAAATAAAATGATTCTGCAAATAATCTTTTTCCTTCTGGATCTTACAATACAGTCTCAACAGAATATTGCATAAAAACAGCTTCCTCTAACTCTTATATAAATGCCATCAAATCAGAATAATACAAATAAATGCTTTCAAATAATCTATAAAATCTTTCTACTAATGGTAAATACGATTTCTTAAAATTTTCATCCAATTCATTTATTTCCTACTTTAAATAATTATATCATACTTAGTTTCTTTAGATCTCATCTTCAAGAACATCAATGTTTTTTAAGTATTCAAAGTCAAATAATATTTTCTCATATTTTTTATATTCTTATGCTTTGCTAGTAATAATCTTGGGTATGTTTTCTGATAGTCTTTAAATTTCAGCTAAAATGGCACTTCCTCTTGCAACTAGAATCAAAAGACTTTGTCCACAAGCATTATCAGGTGATAAGAAATCCATTTATAAATAATTATATTTCTTATCTCATGTATGTATTACTTAAATTCATAACTAATTAATCTATGATTTTTTATATATATATAACTATATCATCATCTTAAATTTTACATTTTTTGAAGTAGTTTCATCTAAAAATGCCTATCTTTATTATTATTTTTATTTATTTTTCCCTTATTCTTAATATTATTGATTGTTATTTTATTTGGTATAATATTTTATTTTAATCTTTAATCTTATTTTTCTGCTTTAGTTATGAAAGTTATTCTATAATTACATAATAAAGGAAAATCAGGTGGATTCTATTATTCTAATATCATAAAAGTAAAGAACACATACAGATTCCACTTTATTCATAATTATTTTAAGTAATACTATTTTAATATATGAGTTATTAAAAAATAATAAGATCAGAATCATTTTTAGAAGAAAGGAAATATGTTACTATTCCATAAACAGAATATGTACTATAACTGTTGTTTAATTAAAGACAACAAAATTTACTAGATTAACTAGACCAGAAACATATTAATATTGGCATAAAACAGGAAAATAAAATTCTTACTCAAGCAAAGTGTTAAACACGATTTATTAATTGTAAACTTAATAAATTTAGGATAATCTATTTTATTTGGAGGTTGTGGTTAAACTTAATAATAATGTACTTCTTGTTGTCCATAATAATAAATAGTAGTAGGATTAATAGTAGTATCAAGAGATGAAATTGAAACACCTTAAGTTCTCAATTTATAATCACTCATTACAGAATTAGAAAAGAAGAAATAAGTATTAACGAGATTGATAATACAAGAGTAAATGTTAAATTTAAATGTAATAGAAAATAAGAATGATAATTGAAGAAACTCATAGTGAAGTAATAACATAAAGAATTACATAAGTAAATAATGGAACTGAATTTTGGAAGAGAAAGTTTCAAGAAATTTATCGTGATTATAGTTAGACTTAAGAGAAATTGATGAATGTTGAAATTGAACTTGAAGCTTTGAAAAAGTAAAATATATGTAAATAAGATATTTTAGAGATTATAACTAAAAATAATACTGTAACCTAATTAATTGTAAATTTTTCAGGTTCAATTGTCAGATAGTCGGTGTCTAGTATTAAACTTAATGTTTGATTTCATTAAATCATTAATAAAAATATTAAATAAATAAGAATGTAAACACCAGAGCCATAGACAATGCACTATAAAATCAGAAGTAGAAGTCGTGATACTTCTAAACTAAAGTGATTTAAGCAATTTAAAAAGTAGATTGATGGCTAGATCAACTACCGATAGTAGTAGCAGTGGGAGTAGCAGCAGCTCTTCTTCTTCTAGTTCATCAAGTAGCAGTAGCTCATCAGGCAGTTCATCAAGTAGTGGATGCCATTTCCATTATGAAATCGGAGACAAAATTGACAAATATGTGATAACGAAATATTTATGTTCGGGCACATTCGGAATGGTTTTGGAAGTGATTGACGAACAGGGAATACCATATGCTGTGAAAGTTATTAGATTAATATTCAGATCTTGAGCGAAACTGATCATACAGAAGTGGATGTCTTAAGAAAAATCTAGTTACTTGACCCCTTCGGTGAGGCGGGTATTGTCAAATTCTATGATTACTTTACTTGGTAGGACTATCATTGTATTTTACTTGAAAGGGTAGCATATTCAACAATTTAAACAGCTTGACATAAATCTCCATGATTATATCCAATCACATTCACTCAATATAAAGGAAATCCAATCAATCTTTAAATAAGTTACTACTTCATTAATGTTTATGCATTCCCTTGGAATCACACATACCGATCTAAAGCCTGAAAACATTGTTTTTGCTAATCAACAAAAGTACCCAGATCAATTAAATGACTAAGAAATTTAGTTAAACTAATAGACATGGGAGGTGCCACTTAAGCCAATGAACATCATAGTACAGTCATCAATACTAGATAATACAGAGCACCTGAAGTGATCATGCGATGCGACACCTGGGATACCTCAAGTGACATCTGGAGTCTGGCTTGTCTTATTGTAGAATTATACACTGGTATATACAAAAAACAAACCTCAATATAGGAAGAGTTTTTATTAAAGTAGGCAATAACGATTTAATGCATTTGGCTATTATACAATCTATTTTTGGACCAATACCCTAGTACATGAAACAACGTTCCAAATTTAAAACGAGATTTAATTCTTTACCAAAAGCCTAGCCTTAAAAATAATTACATCAAATTATAGATGATCAAGATCTTCTTGATCTTCTTAATATGATGTTTTAAATAGATCATCATCATAGAATTAATTGCAAATAAATTCTAGAACATAAATTCTTTTAAAAACTATTTTCAAATTTTTGATTTTATATAATTTGTTTAATTAACTTCACTTAATTCTATAAATAATTATGGTGCGTATTAAATTTAAATTATAATATCATTCTCATAATTTTGGTTCAAATCTTTAACATTTTTAATCGAACATGTCTTATTCATGCAACAGTAATTTAAATTAATATTAAAAATACAACACTATTTAAATAACTCACTTATGTAAACTATCTAATATCATCCAATTACTCAACTCATTTTAAATGGGGATACTAGCCCTATTAATGGAGATGACTAATAATACGATCCTCCACAAAAACATTATTTTAATCACCACATTTAACTTGAAATCTCAAAAAATAAAATATAAAAAAGAAAAAAAAGTATTTAAGTGTTAACTGATGAACTTATTTTATGGAATAATTATCTACACCACAAATTTTAACATCCAGATTAATTACATCATTGAAATGGGATGACCTTATGAAATCAATCATTAATACTCATGTCTGTTGATAATATAAACTGTTTATGTTTAATTAAATAACTTAAAAATTATGTTTTCAATTAATAGAAAATGAGCTCGGTTTATAGAAATATTTGCCAGAAATTTTTCATATTAAATTTTTAAACTATAAGTTTTATTAACAAATTTTCAATTCAAAATAATTATTGTAAATATTGCTACTCAAATTTTACAATTATTATATGAAATCTTCTATAATATTAGAAGATAGGAGATTGATTATATATTTAATATTTCCTATTCACTTCTTTATCCATTTCAATATTTTATTTATTTAATTTTATACTTAGTATTATTTTGGCTAGTAAATATATATCAGATGTAGTTTGATTATATTAACCAGTTTCATATATTTTATAGACTACATATTGTAATTATTTTATTACAAAAATATATTTCATTATTAAGATATCAATCTTTAATCCCACTATATAAGAGAGAGTAATTCATTGTAATTAAAAATAACTAATAATTTTTAAATTTTTTATGGAAAAAATAACAAAATCTCCTTTAAGTTTTTTATAAAGTTTTGGGGATATTTAACCATTAATAGAAGAAGAAGATATGATTCCAACTAAATTAAAGAATAGTAGATTTAATCATAAGTGTCCTTTTGGATGTATTCCTTCTTTTGAAAAAAAACTATAAAATACCAAAAAACAATGTGACTATGTAATTCTAACAGATTAGCTTCATGAATGGAATAATTTTCTACTTTAAAAGTTTCAAAAAAGCTAGTAGAGTTGAAAATGATCATTCTATTAAATTTTATTTTCATATTATTCACTTATGATTTTAAATCTTTATATGTGTAGTTTTATACTATAAATTTTGATATTCATGAATAATAATTAATATGAATGATAAAGGATGAATTTGATATCATGTCAGTGAATTAATAAATTTTATAAGTTTTCACGATCATCATATAATTAGGAAAGTATACTCTTTAGTTGTGAATCCATTTAGTATTTTAAGAAGATATTTATAAACAAGAATAACTAATCACAATTAAAAAATTTGTTAACAAATAATTAAAGTTATATTAAATCAATAATATAATTTATATATTCCTTAATAACAAAGAGAACATCACTTAAGTGTATATCAAATAGTGAATAATATTTTAGTATGATTATTGATTACAGCCAATACCTTTAAACTATCTCTTTTTGTTGTTTAATTCTCATTTTGAATTTATCATAATTGTCTATGTTTAATCATAAATTCATTAATTGAACCTAAATTTATTACTAAAATTAGGAAATCAAATAATATATATGTAAAAAATTTTTGGTTTAAATATGGTTGTCCTAAAGATATATTTGAGAATCTTTTGTCGAATTTTATACTTTTAGATTTTATTTAGATTATTAAAAAATTATTTGGAGGTTAAATAAAACAATAATTTTAATATTATTCTAGGGATAAAATTAACTTGAAATTAATTTTAGGAATAAAAGTGACTTGGTATTAATAATAAGTATAATTAAGATTATAGTGGTTATTTATTTGATGAATGGCAATATAATATTAAAGGAAAATTATCTAAAAGTTATGTTTAAATAATATAAATAACAATTTTATGTTTAAATAAATAATATATATATAATTGCTCAATTCATTAATTTATAGCTCCTTATTTTTTTAAAATTTAGTATATCTAAGGCCCAGCCTCATCTCTTAATCCAAAGTGACCTATATTTGAACTACTAAAGACTATCTCTTCATTTTCATTTTTTATTCTAGTTGTATATTTTCCCCAAACAAGATTATTACCTCCAATAATTTCATCATAATTGGCTCTACCTGATACAATATATTTTCCTTCTTTTGCTGGATTAGAATCTAATTCTTCTAAGAATGTGGATCTTCCAACAAATGGTGGTTATCCTGGATAGAAACCATTAGTCATGCCACAAGTAGGTAAAGTTGAACCAGAAGTATAACAAGAACTTAACCCTTAATTTCCACCTGCTAACCCAACAAATATTTTGACTTTTGAAGTTAGTGGATCCCCTAGATCATATCTACCACTACCCAATTCATCGTGACCAGTTCCACCTTTGACGATTTTTCTGGCTAAAGTTACACCCATAGAATGAGAAATAATATTGACGTAAGGAGATTTTGTGTATTCTAAAACAGCTTCAACAAATGCTCTGTTGTATTTAAGATAGTTCTCAGAATGATAATTGAGACTTGCTGTAGTAGGGTCAGCATCTCCCCAAGTAGTAGCATATAAATCTTGTTTCTCATATCCTTGACTTAAAAAATATTCAATCTGTGAGCTAAATCCTGTCATATAAATTCCATAGCTTCCATCTCCTACAGCCACATCGCTATTTCCATGAATAAATATAATTGGTATTTTTGATGGTTTTTAAGTTGGTCTAATTTCTGCTCCTCTAGATTGATATATATTTCAATTACCCATAGCATCCAGAAAGGATATCAGGTCTATGGAAACCCCAAAGCCTGTAATTTTAATCAAGAAAGGCTTTAAAATCTTTAGAAAAACCTCTCTAAAATTTTGGCTATGAAGTTTGGTTCATATACCATACTATTGTTGAAATTAGAAGAAGGGACAAGAGTTTGTATTACATAATATGATGCAATAATAAATATTGTAATTTGATTATCAGTTATGATAAAGAAGAAAATTTCAAAATTTACTCCATTTGATAGGGTATTGGATGGATTAGAATAGGAAGAACTTATAGATGAAGATGTTAATATGAAAATCATAAAAGTGTATAATCGAAAGAAAAATAATAAAATGTTTCTATTGGAAAGATTAATCTCAAATGAAAAAGAACATTTAAAATACATAGAAGAAATACATAAATATGAAATAATTAATTCTGATGGATTATTATGCATAGACAAATGGGTTTATATTAATTAATAATAACTAGACATATGACATGTTAATTGATTAAAATTTAAATAAATTATACAAATTTATTTTAGTGTTTGATACCTATTCATAGAATTTAAATTAATATCTAGAGAACATTTAAGTAATGTATATTAAATAAATTTAGTCTAAGAAAATTCAATTACTAAAAGAAGATATTGTTGTATTCTTTAGGGCAATTATCTTGTCAATAAATTATTTGCAATAATAATAAATTATAACCTTTAATCCTGTGACAATGTCTTGCATTTTGATTTGCTCAGATACATGTATGAAATTTAATTGTATTCCAATATTATTAACTTAACATGCCCTAGAAAAAGCAAAAAAGGAAAGTTTACTTTATTAAGCACCTGAATAAGTAAAGGATTCTAAAAATATAAATCATATCTACTCTTAAGCAATATATTCTTTAGGACTTATATTTATATAGCTATTTTTATTAAGACATATAGATTAATTAAGGAAATATGAAGATATTAAATAAAGTATCAAAGAAATTTAAATGAAATATGGAGACACTTATAAATCTTATTTAGAAAGTATGGTTGAATAAGATCCAAATAAAAGAATAAAGATATAAGATTTATGCCAATTATTATCCATTTAAGAACCTCAAAAGTTAATTAAGGACAATTTAAAAATTACATTTTCAGAGACTTTTGAATATTATCGTAAGTAATATTCTATATTGAATGTACCTGAACCTCGATCTATTGCATATGGAATTCCTTGGAGTAGAAATATTTTATAATCAAATTTATTTAATATGAAAAATTACTTTCTAGAATTATTAGATCTTTCTTAATCATAATAAATATCAGAATAAGCTGTGACTATAATATTTTAATAGTTTAGAGTATTTGTTATAGGAGGAATGAATTGTCATTTAGTTTATGAATTAGATGATGAAATACCAGCTCTAAAGGAAGTAACATCAATTCCATAAAGTAATACAAATAGATGGGGTTTTGGATATGTTATATGTAAATGAATTAGTATATATTAGAGAAAATAATTAATTGTTGTATATTTGTTCTGGATATAGCGATTAAGTATTGACAGCTAATACATTTTGTTATAATATTTAAACTTAAAAGTGGATGAAATTAAGTGATTGCTAAAAACCAGGAATAGGTTGTACATTAGTTTGTTATAATAATTCAAGTATTTTCAAATATGGTGGAATTGAAATCAATAATAAACCTCTTAATTGTGTAGAAGAATTTAAAAATAATGAATGGTAAATAATAAATTTTAAAAAACCACACTTTATATTACCAAACTTTAGTTTTGCATAATAGGTAAATCCAACATAGATTTTTATTGTTGGAGGATATTGTGATAAAGTGCCTAATACAAAGGTTATAGTAATGAATATTGATACATAAGCTCATCTTATAGATTCAAGAAAAGATTATACATATGTTGAATTTATAGTAAATGAATTTTTAGATTATGGAAAATATGGCCCAGTAGAAGCAATGCAAATAAGCAACAATTAGTTATTTTTGTTATAAAAAAGAAATGAAAAGCACTAATATTTAACTGTATAAGATTAAGCTGAATTTGTAGAGTTACGAAAGATTCATATCTGATTATTTTTTGTAATGTTTCTTTTAAATAGAAATAATAAAAATTATTAAAAGATTCAATAATTTAAAGGAATGAAATTTTCCATGTTTATACTAAATTAATTTTATAACCGAAATATTAATAGAATTTTCAGAATTTTTCATTTTCAAATATTATGTAATTGGATCTAAATTAAATTTAAATATAAAAATTATTGTTAATACATAAAATCAATCTAAATAAAAATCAGAATCAAATAAATATTTCTATATTAGTTAAATTAGTAAAAGAAATAATAATTATAATTTTTTAATAAAAATAGTTTATAAAGATAATTGATTTCATTAAAAATTAACTATATGAATCATTTGTTCACTTGTAACAATAAATATTTAATTCTATTAATATAACCCAAATAAACAATTTTTATCTATTTTATAAGCTTAATTCATTTAACCATTTTCTGGATTCCATTAAACTATTAATCCACATTAAGTAAATCCAAATACAGAATTTGATGTTTTTATGAATCCAACCAATTTTAATTAACTAGCAAATGCTGTTTTCTCTTAATATTAAAATTAATTATCTTTATATAACATTTTTATAATAGCAACACCATTTTCAGTACATGGATACAGATAATTATCCATAATTTGAATTGATTTAATTGAAGTATTGACATTAAAATTAATTTAATTTAAATATTCTAGCTTTTCAGTTCTCTTATATACTAATATGAAACCTTATGAAGTACCTACAATATATTTAATTTTACCTAAAAACAATAATTTTTCTTTTTCATCAAAATTTAAACAAGATATCCATGCTGTTTACAATCTATTTTTTAAACTTCCTCCTCCAATCAATTCAAAGTTTAATTTATCCAAAATCTTAACTTAACTATCTGTAACAAGATAAATTTCTTGATTAAAATGATTAATTTTATATATTGGAGATGTTAAAACTTAAATAATATTTTTCTCTATTATAGAATTTTCTGTTATTTAATATACAATTAATGTTCCTTAACATGTTCCTACTATTAATTTATCATTAACTAAATATATCAATTATAAAATTACTATTTTCAACACAAAATAGTTTAAAACTATAATATTTATCAAAGATTTTATGAAATGGAGTTGCTTCTCCAATAATGAATACTATCATTTAACCCATAATTTCTGGTTCAATCAAATTCCAAATTTTACCAAATTTTTATAATTAACTCTAATTCTCTAAAGTAACAATTAATAATTAATTAACAATTATCATCTATGACACAGTAAGATTAGAATCTGATATTTTGAAACCCATTACAATATTTGGAATCTAATCTGTATATAAAAATAATATACTAAAGCTTTAATTTGAGAATAAACTTAAATTTATTAATTCAATCCTAATAAATTAATGGTCTCTAGATAATACAATTATTTACTTTTTATTTTGTAATTAGATCTCTTCTATATAATAGCTCACCAATTAAATTATTAATTGCAATGATTGTTTTTACTTTGTCTTTTACTGTTTATAGTAGATCAATTTAAGCTTTATCTAGACTTAATAACATAAATCCATGTTTTTATATATGCAATACATAATCATAAAATTCTTTTATTGGGTTATTACCTTGAGATAATCATATTTATTACTTTCAAAACAATATTAACTAAAGGGTGTATATACAGTTAATTAGATTGAAGGTTATCCATTAATCAAAATTATTTCTTCAATTTAATCAAAAGCCAACGTGTCTAAACAAACTTAAATTTATGCAGACATATAAATAAATGAAATTAATATTAAGAATAATTAATTTCAAAATTAGAAAATCAGATTCTAATATTTTTTTTGAAACTTAAATTACTTTCCTAAAATCAATCAATGTATTATAAATATATTTAATTTTACTATTATTGAACTACTAAATATCTAATCATAAATTATATACTATAAAATATATATTTTTCAATTATTTATTTAAAATATATGTTGATATATAGAAATTAAATTGTTTAACTGATATCACCTAAAAACAAAATAATAATAAATATTATTAGTTTTCTATAATATAAATTAGATTCAAAATAATTATTATGTAAAATCGAGGTCCTCATATCTTTCTTATCATTTTTGTTTGTTATCTCTATAATTTTTTTGTTAATGGTTTAACACTTCCATCTATCACATCTTTTGTGATAATATTATTAACAAAATCAATTACTTATATAGACTTTCTGAATTCTACTTTTTTCTGTTATTCATCTATATTTGTCAAATGCCTTTTGTGATTTGGAATCTAAAATTTAGTAGGAGAAGTTGGTATTGAATTGATTATTGGTAAATAGATATCTGATTTTGTAAGTGGTGAATTAGAATCAGATTAAGTTATTATTACTTTTCTACTGGTGAGAGATTGTTTTGGATTGGATGTTGGTTTAATAAATCGAATTTTTTGTTTCTCTTCTACAAAAGGTAGAAATAATATGCCTTCATTTTCTAAAATTTCATTGACTTAAGTTACTGATCCAATGTTTTCTATATTTCTTTTTGAATTCATATTGACTTCTTTTTTTACTGTCATTAATTAAGACAATGAAGATATGTTAAATTCATTCAAAAACATTGAAGGTTTCATAGATTTGGTGTCTTTCTTGACTAATCGTCTTGAAGGAGATACTAACATAGATTTTATTATTATTTAATGATTTGACATAAACAAAATCATTAAATAATGAAGAAATAAGATCAGTATTATTAATAGTATTATTAGAATTTTTGAATCGATATTTATTTAAAACAAACACTATTGTAATCAATTTTATTAATTATTTACATTAAGATATTAATGAATTCACTTATTATTAACATTTTTATCATCCCTAACTCACTTTTGAGACCTTAACAAATACTATATATACTAAAGTTAGTCACTAGATTTATATTTATATAATATAATTTATGTTTATATTACATTAAAATCTTTATTTTCATTTTTCAAATAATGGCTGAATAAACTTAAGACAAACAATTCAAAGGTGTCAAGAAGTTTACCTATAGAGGATTATAACTTGAAGAGCTTGTCAAATTGCCAATGGATAAGTTGGTTGAATAATTCAGAGCAAGATAAAGAAGAAGAATTTCTAATTAAGGTGAAAAAGTACATGCCTTCTAAAATTTAATGAAGAAAGTAAATAAGTGTTTAAAATTATCATTAGATTCGTAAATCAAAGAAAGAAACCTTACCAGGAGAAAAACCAAAACCAGTCAAGACTCATTAAAGAAATACTATTGTAGTCCCAGAGATGGTTGGATCAATTGTAGGAGTATATAATGGCAGATAATTTAGCAATGTTGAAATTAAGTTTGATATGATAGGCAGGTAAACATAAATGCAATACTATAATCTTAGATATTTGGGTGAATTTTCTTTAACCTATAAGCCAACAAGACATGGAAAGCCAGGAGTTGGTGCTACCAAAGGATCCTAACATACAGATTGATATAATATTATATAAGTACAATAAATAATGCAGACTTATTAATCATTTTTACTATTAATAATAATATTTTGAGTAGTAATTTTAATAAAAAAGAATATCGAATAAATTTACAACATTATATAATAAGTACAATATTTTAAAGGAATATTATATCATTAAACTTCTATGAATTCAATGATATACTTAAATACAATAAATAATGAATAATAATTATAAAAAAAATTAGGAATATTAATGGACTAATTCTATTCCTTTAATGATCTAAATACTAGATTTTATCAGTCATTTTCAGTTGATATCAAATAATCAATAATAATTTCTATTAATTCAAGTTCATAATTATTTAACTCATTTTTTTTTGATTATTTTTATTTACAACTAATCATGAATTAGTATTAATGTATAAATTAGATTGATTCTTGATGTGTAGTTTAACTTTAAATTAAATTAGATATAGTTAAATGAGAAATTAGAGATAAAGAGAGAATTTTGGATATAGACTATTTTATATATTCATTCCATAAATAATTTGATTTTTTTTCAACGAGAAATTTCATTGCTCAATTTAAATTATTAAATTGATATACTTCCAGTTATAGTTGACTATTACTAATATCTAATAGAAATATTTTGTTCATTATGAACTGGTGTTCCAACATTACTACTTGAATTACTTTTAATTTCTAAATAAACTTTCTTCTATTTTTTTTTCCTAATATATGGGTGTATAAAAAATATTGTGGTTGTTATAATTACCAAAATGAAAGCAAGAACCTTCAATATATATATTATTTATTTTGAAGTAATTAAAGGATATTTATAAGAAACGGTATAATTTGAGATGTAAAGACACAATTCACCTTCTTTTTTTTATTTTAATTTAGAGCATTATGTAGAATTTTAATAATATGTGAATTAAATAGAACTTAATTCTTAGTTGTATTAGCAAATAATCTTTTAAGGAATCATATAAAATTTAGAAATGAAATAGGTATTTTTAGTAATACCTATTAATGATTGATTTTAAGATTCTGTTTAACTTAGAAGATAGATTTGTTGTAATCCAGGAATAACTATTTATTACTATATTTAATAATCTGCATTAGGTAGAGAATGATAAATAATTTGATGTCCATAATTTCCAATTAAGATTGCATAATCCTCTGTAAATTTGATATCCTTAATAATATTTTATATTTGATATTGATTAGATAGAGTCCATTTATTGTTTATTTTTGACTAATGTAATTCATTAATAATAGATTCATCATTATTTTCTTCAACAATCATTAAAATATGTTTATATAATCCAATTTTATATCCTTTCATAGGTATATCATTATACGATGAAACTTCATTAAATAACTGTAAATTAAGATCATAAATACAAACTTTTACACCATACCATCTATGCAAAAAGAATATTTAAAATTCATCATCTTCTTACTTAACTTTGAAGTCAATAATATTTATAGTGATATTATTATTATTATAAATTTTTTCAAAATCTTATTGTTTAAAAGAATAGATTGTAAATTAATTCTATCTTACAATGAATAAGTAATCATCAATAAACTCTATATTTTAAGTATTTAAGATTTTTTCATCAATTTGATTAGTATACTGACCAAATATATTGGATTGATTTATATTTAATTATACATATATCAATTAATTATTAAGTATAATCATTATTTTATGAGTAGTTGATAAATAAAACATATAAACAGTATCTATTATTAATTGATTTTGAACATTGAATATCGAATAATCTGATTCAATTTTGAATATGTTATTATTATTTTCATATATATAAGTAAGAATTCCATTACTTAATAAAATTATAGTTCCATTATTTATTGGAACCATTGATACAATATAATAATAATTACCCTATAATTTTAAGGAACCATCAATATAATATTAATTGAAAACGCTTTCATTAATTTATGGTCCTAAAAGTATTTAGTTTTCGATTAGATTATTTACTCTTTATTTGATTATTTGACATAGGTGTAAATTTTATGATCTATAAGTAATATTAGCATCTAAAATAACACCAAATTCTTCAAATGTATCAATAGTTTGTTATTCATCTATATAAACATATATCTCTTTAGCCGTTGAAAAGATCTCTAATAAAATGTAAATTATGAATGTTATCATAAAAATTGATATAAATATAAATAATATAAATTATTTATCATATGTCATCATCCTAAAGTATTACATTCTATTATTAATGCAACATCATTAATTTATCAACAATATTCTCAGCTAAAACATTCCAATCTTTCCATAATAAATTCACAAGTTGTATTATATCATATGCTATAGCTCCTATTACAATTCCAATCCACACTCCTTTTAGTCCAATCTCAGCAGTATAACATAATAAATATCCAATTATTTCTCCCATCACTAAATAACATAAAATAAATGTAATAGAAGCACTTGCTTCTCTTCCTATAGCTCTTACTAATCCTGAAATTATAGCTTATAAACCTTTTATTAATATAATTCATATTACCATCTAAAATAATGAATGCAACTAATAGATACATAGAATTATAAATTTACTCTACAACAATTTTATCTTCACTTAAATAATCAATTACAGTTTTTCCAAATATTGAGAATAATCCTAAAATTATTAATAAAAACATTCCATCAATCAAAAATGTAGCTTTTGTGTATTTTTTAGCCATATCCACTTTCTTTCTTCCCATTTCATTTCCCACAAATGTAGTAGATGCTATAGAAATACCATAACTAAATTAATATAAAAATCCTGCAAAATTAGACATTAATACATGAGCACTTATTGTTGAAGTGTTTAAATAACTAACTAAAATTACATAAAAATCAAAGCTTATCCACTCTAACCATAATATAGAACCTATTGGTATTGCTTCTTTCAAAAATTTAATTGTGTTTTTTAAGTAAATCAATTTAAATTTATATAAAGTAGCCTAACTACATTTAGTTATGAAAATTAATGAAAATAAGATTATGTTATTCAATAGATCCAAACTTGTTAAACTTAATGCACAACCTACTATTCCTAACTCTAATATAACTATCAATAAGTAGCTTATGCCAACAAATAGGATGCATGTCACAAGTTAAGTATAGAATTGATATTTGTAAATGTTTTAACCATTTAAAAATACTTTTGTATTCACAAAAATTGCATTCAAGTAAACTGCTAAAATCATATATCTATTGAATTTTCCTGTTTCTTCTGCTAATTCTGTATTGCTAAAGTAAACCTGCACTTGTACTTATTGATAAAAGATATTATTTATGTTGAAAAAATCAAGAATAGTGAAATAGGAATCATAAACAATGTGCACAAAAACAACGATCTATAATATAGCTTTGCACATAATTCATAATGATTTGCTCCATAAGCTTAAGATACTAAGGTTTCCAACCCTGTAGCTAAACCATTTAGAATTCCCATTCCAAATGCTTGAGTTGTAAGAATTCCTAATCCCAAAGCTCCCACCAATACAGAGTCTTCTTTGAATTCTAGCAAATAAATTGAAATAGTATTCGGTATATATTCTAGTAAAAAGCTCATTGCAGTTTGAAGAGATGCAATCGTTAACTCTTTCATAACCGAACCCTGTTGATAGAGTGGACTAATTAATTAAAGTTCACTCATTTAAAATTAATGAAAATAATTCTTTAACAAATTAAATATAAAACTTAGCAATCAATCTTAGTTGACTATAATAATAAATTATAATGTGAATAATAATATTTAATAAAAATAATAGAACCATATATAAATGCTAAGCTTATTAAAAAAAATTATATCTTTAAATAATAATTCTATCCTTATGAATTCAGAAGAAATTTATGATTACAAATTGTTAAAATTAAATAAATTCTTCTTATTCCAATAACCAAATTTGGTAAGAGTTAAATTAATTGGAAATCATTTACTCATTAGTTCAACTTGATTAATTAGACTTATATTTTGAATTGAGTGAATAAATATTAAGAAAATAATTTAAGTTTTATACCTTAGGAAACTATAGTTTTATTAAAATTAGGATTATATATTTTATAATTATTCGTTTTACATATGAAAGTACTTTGGCTCTTGATTGTCACCCTTATAGTGGTAAATACACAATAAGTATTTTTGGGATAAATCTTTAAAGGACTCTTGCTATGAAATTGATCCAATGGATCCACCTAGAAAAAAAGATAAAATTCCTTTAATTTATCATTCAGGATGGACTGAAGAATTGGTTGTTGCAAAACCTAAAGGCAACAGACCTTAACCTTAAGAGTACATGAATTAAGAATATATCGATTAACATTTAAAGTATTTCAGATATGGGGCATCATTTATCATAACAACTGCATGGTTGGATAATAATGGTAGAGAATTTGTAGGAAATAAAAATGGTATATTTGTTATACCCAAATCCTAAATGGATTAACTTCTTAAAACAGCAAATGGCAATTTATCAATTGTTGAAAGAAACCTTGGAGTCACTCCAGGAGGTTGGTAATATAGAAGATTGAGTCGAATTGATGTTCCTTTCCCTGAAAAGTTTAATGTTAGAATGCCAACTGGAAATGAAGTTGGTGCAAATTAATATTGGAGACCTGGTGGAATATTACCAAATGGATTATTGGAGGCAGTAATTGATATGGTTCCAAAAAGTGATTATTAGGAATTCTAATTGAACCTATAATGAAATGGCAACTGTAATATATTTAAAATTTTCAAATGCAATTAAATTAAAGTCCTATTCCATAGGAGAAACTAAGTTTTCTTAATACTCTCTTAGACAAGGAACTTGATATGCTTAAATACAATAATGTCCCAAGTTATCTTCAAAAAACATAGCCTTCATCTTATTTTGAATAGGAATCAATTTAGTAATCTAGTATAAGAGCATTAAGTAATAATCCTACATCATAAACTAAACGAACTACTAATGGGGATTTAAAAGAAATCTAAGATAAAATTGTTACTATTGAGGCAAGAATTCAAAAAAATATTGATAAACAAATTCAACCTAATCATTAATTATAACAATAAGAGATTAAGGATTCAGATGAGGAAACACCTTTAAAGAATAAATACAATCATATTTAATCATCACATAAAAAACAAATTAAATTTACAGAGTAAGAACATTCAACTAAAACACTTAATAAATAGTCTTTTCATGAGGAAAGAAAGAATAAATTTTAATAATTAGAAAAGAATATTGAAAGTGCAGAGAATAAATTATCTCAATCAAAAGCACAAAGAAAATCTTCAAGTTAAGCTAAATCTAAAAGTAAAGAAAAATCTTAGAATTCTTTATAAAGAGGTATTAGCAGTCAATAATAAGATGTTTAATAATTATAAATTAAAGTATCATAATTAAGAAAATAATGGGAAGATGATAGAACTCAATTAATTAAAGAAAAACAAAAGAATTAATAAATGTAATAGTAAATAGATTAATTAAACAAAAAATTGAAGAAAGCCTTATAATAAAATGAAAAATATAGTTAAATTGAATAAGAATAATAAAGATTATAGGAAAATTTTGAAAAAAGTGAATTTATTAGATAATAGTAAAAATAATTAATATAAACTTTGAAATAAGAAATTGAAGAATTAAAATCAAATAATAATAATACTAAAAGTAAATCAAAAAAAAGAGGATTGGAAGATAATAGTAATAAATACTTAAATAAATGAATATTATTATTATAATTAAGATTATTAGTTAAAAATAACAAAAATATTATTTAAATTAACATTTATATTACTAAATTTTATCATCTCAAAAAATGAGTAATTTTGATTTTCCTTAATTTTATCATTATTTATAATATCATAATAACAGTAAAAAACCATTTATTTATTAAATTATAATTCTAAATAAATGTTTGTGATACTAAGTAAATATTCTAATTAAAATAACAATCATATATAAATAATTAATGTTAAAGAAATCTAATAAATTTTAATTTTTGTATATTGTTAAATTAATTTAATGTTAATAATAATAATCTATATACAATTATATAATAATAGAATAAATATTGATTTTGATGATGATTCAAATGTAAAAATAATTAATTTATTTATTTTAAATAAGTTAATAACTAATAAATTATATTAATATTTAAATAATAGATTTCAGCACTTACAACCTTATTCTTATTCTATTTTTTATGCATCTAATGTTCTTAATCTAGTATCATTTTCAGGTGGCTGAGCAATTGTTCTTTTCTAATCCACCAAATTTAAGATAATTTTGCCCAAATCTAAAAATAATTAATTGACATTATCTCCAGTTTTAGCAGATGTTTCTAAATAATTAACACCTAAATCTTATGCAAATTCATTTCCATTTTTACCAAGAATCTAAAATAAATGCTTTAATAATATACCACTCTTTTACTGACTAAATCAACTTTATTTGCTATTAAATAGCATGCTTCAGGAATCAATCCATGTTCTTCAATCACTAATTTTATAAATTTTTTGGCATCCTCGAATGATCTATTAAATATTAAGTATCTAATAAGTACCTTTCATTTGTAACATCATATACGGCAATACAACCATGAGCCCCTTTATAGTGAGATTAAGTTAAAGCTTAAAATCGCTCTTATCCAGCTGTGTCCCATATCTACATTTTAATACTAATAGATATGTGTATTTAGTTACGTTTTATCATGTATGGATAAGGTTTTGATTCTGAAGTCAACTCCAACTGTGGAAAGGTAACTATCATTAAAAACTTAATCTATGAATCTGGCCATAAGGGAAGATTTGCCAACATTCTAGGGTCCTATTAGTACAATCTTAAAGATGTAATCTACTTTTTACATTTGTATATATTAATTAATATAAATTTCATAATTTAGTATGTGAATCTATGTATATTTTTAACTAATGTGCAGGATCAACATCGACATATTTGCAGTGTTCATTTCGACAATAATGACAATTATACATTTTATTGGCAAGAGATTATACTGCACAAACATGACAGACATAATTAGAACAACAAGTTGTATGAAGCATACCTAGAATAAGGTAAGATTTTACAGTCATAATATTTAAAACAGATTGGACAATAATATTTACAATTTCCTTTTAAAGTATCTGAAAACTAAGATTCAATTAAATAAATTATGAATACATTTGTTTTATTGAATTCTGTAATTATTTTAAGATTCTTATCAAAGTATAGTCCATCTTAACAAATTAAATTTAACTAATGAAGATTTCCTAATGAAGCATGTTTCCGATCCTTTTTCTTTTTTCCGCAACAAACAAACATCTAACGATAATTTTAATTTAAATTAGTATTTTTATAAAAATAAAATCATTGTAGATAACGAGTAATAATTTCCTCTATATCTGCTACTTTTAATGGTTTTTCATAATAATCTACAAATCCATTGTTTAATGCTTATTGTTTCATATGTAATCCATGTCCACTTACTGCAATAAGTACAGGCATAGTAGTTATGGTATCATTAACATATTATTTAATCATTTTTGCAGTACCAAATCCATCAATAATTGGCATTTCAATATCTAAAAGAATAACTCTATAAAATATATGATTTCTAATTCTTTCATCTATAATTTTCAATGCATGTTAACAATTAATTGCATAATCAATTCTATTAATACCTTTTGAATTAAATAATTTAATCAATATATCAATGTTAAATTGATTATCATCAATAATTAATAATTCTCTCTATCGAAAGGCTTAATTAGAATAAATACGTTGGACTCTAGGTTAGGCTTCAATATCCACTTAATCTTCTTCTTCATTATTGCTCTCATTATCACAAATAATGACAGTATCATAAACAGTTTCATGATCTATTTCAAATGAAAAAGAACTGCCTTTATATAATTCTGACTCAATTTTGATACCAGATTCTTTAGTTGAAAGAGATTTACATATCATATTACTTATTAATAATCCTAATCCAACACCAGATCGATTAAATTATTTAGTTTCATCATCATCTAATCTACCAAATGCTTTAATTAATTTTTTCTTATCCTCTTCTCTTATACCAAAACCAGTATCAGATATTTTAATTTCTAAAGTTCCATCTTTTTAATCTATAACACTTACTGTTATACTACCTTCAATAGTAAATTTGAATGCATTTCCAATTAAATTAATTAATACCTATTTAATTCTTACATCATCATTACATATTTATTTTGGAGCATCTTAATCATATTCTAATTTCAAAGCAATTTAATTTCTTTTAGCTTCTACTCTAAATAAATCAAATAATTATAATATTAATTATTCTAAATTAAATTTAATTTTATGTAATTTAAATTTACCAACTTTGATTTATGCTAGATCAAGTAAATCATGACTGAAATTTAATAAATAATAACAATTCCATAAAACATTCTTAATTGTATCATTTTTTAATTCAATTTCTTCTAACAATTAAATAATACATTTAATAGGAGTTCTAATTTCATGAGAAACAAAATTTAAAGAATTAGATTTTGCTTTACTATGTTAATTAATTGATTTGATATAATCTTTATATGAGACATCTCTTGTTAATATAAGTAATTATGGTTAATCATTAAGATATGATAAAAATAGTTTAATTTCAATACAGACATCTTTTTTTGATTATGATGTTGTATATCCATTCAATATTGTATGTAAATCAAAACCAATCTGTGTTTTTGTTAATAGTGATTAAACTTCTTATGAATGGATTTATAGAATAGCCTATTCTAGGGCCATTTTGAAAGGCTATTTTTATTGATAAGTTTACATTTTTGGAAAATCTTAATTTTGTATTTATGAATTACTCATTCTTAGGATTCTAAACTGTTGTTGAGGCTCTATAGATAGATCTAACTATTCCAATTTTATTCTTTTCAGGGGAATACATACTTTTATATGTAGATATTGAAGTAGCAAGATCTTACGTTTATTGGTTTTTTTTCATGATATGTAAATTCTTAAGTGACATTAAAGAACTCAATAAATCTTATTGAGTTGTGTGTAATAAATTCATCATTGTTTAATTACAGAAATCAACTTGAGGTAATCTATTTTCATCAAATATTATTAGAGCGACTCCATCAGGAAATTCATCTAAGATTTATAGAAATTGATCTAATAATAAATAGATATTATTTACATTTAGCACTTGTTCTATGTCCAGCTTAATTGTCACTATAAGCTATTGATTGAAGATGTATTTTATCTGATTTATCAGTTTTATCCAGTTCATTCTCCTCTCTTAGTTTTTTATTTGAGAGTTAGGTAGGTGAATATTAAAATTTAGGTTACTCTAATTTGATATCAACAGCTATAGTAAGGAAGGATAAACAAATTAGTACAATTTAAAATACTTATCCATGTATAATCATTCCTAAAATAACAACATAGGATAGTTTTAATAATAGAAATTTTGATGGTTTCATTTATATTAGTTATAGAGTTACTATTAAGGTACTACAAACATCATTCAAAATAATTCCCATTGGCACTGTCAATAATACTTAAGATATTTCAGTAATAATTTCTTCATACTTTTTCCATTTTAATACAACCATCTACATTATGACTCCCAATATACTCAATATTAGTTGATAATGGATGGGATTTTTACTTAAGTATGCTATCAAAATTAATGATTATGCAATCCCAATAATTTGTTTAATATTCATATTATTAATGAGTAAACATGACTCTGAGGAACAGGAAGGTATTTATTAGCATTTATTATTCCCAATTAGATTTTTCAGAAGATGAAGATTTTGTAGAAGAAAAGCCACTTGAACCAAGACCATATAAAACAGATCATGAAGATGAAACAATTTAGGTAAATTGACAATTATATTTGTTCAATTAAGGAAATCCAATCTTTTACAGTTAAAGATAGACCACTTATCAAGATGTAATTTATTAAAAAGAGAAAAGAGTTTGGGTAAGTCTCTATATTATATACATTTAGTTTGACATTCAAATTTAGTGATTAAGAGACATCTGAAAGAACAGGTGAGATCAAGGCTCTTGATAAGGATCCACTTCAACTTGTTAAAAATAAAGTTATTGAGATGGGCATATAAGGATGTAATCCTTTTCAAGATGCCAGTTCTTAGACTGTCTGGAATAGAAAAATTAATAAAGCTTTATAAGTTGATGAAGGAGATGAGAGATAGGAATAGCCAGATGAAGACTATAAATTACTTAAATTCTTAGAGACAGTTTATCCATTAATGGAGGAAGCATTGTAATCAAATGAAACCATTGATATATATTAAGATGATTTCAATGTATTACCACTCTCAGAACAAAATGGAGGTATCATATATTTCATTATGTAATTTAAGATTAAAATGCTGAACTTACTAATGTTATCAAAGAAATCAAAAGTTTCAGTTACTTAAATTGTAAAGGTAAAAAAATATAATGCATCTAATTCCAACCTACAAGTTAAGCAATCAAATCTAAGTATATTGTTGCAGAATCTTTTGTTGAAAACTTATTCTTTGAAGAAAGAGCTATATATCAATTGAAATCTCATAAATCACTTATAGTATTCTGGGATTTCGAAGATATTCATTCTATAGAACCAGTGCTACTTTTGTAATCTCCCCTTGAAATACTTTCTTTTGAGTTTAATCCCAAAGATCCTAATATCATTGTTGGTGGTGCTGTCAATGGTTAAGTTATGTTATGGGATCTCAGTGGCACAGCACTATCTGTTTTTGCATCCAAAAAAACTTAAAAAACTAAATAAGAACGAAGTATATAATAGAATTCTCACTATTTTAAGATGAAATTCAAGAACTTCAACCTAAAATGGTATCTGCTTTATAAGATCCAGCATCATATTAGGCTGGATCATCTAATGAAGTTTTGAGAAAATAAGTTGCATCTCACAAGAATTTTGTTTTGGCTGTGAAATGGTTTCCAATAGGAATGGAATTTGATAGGAAACATTTTAATCATCTAATACTTACTTCTTCTTAAGAAACATATTAATTTGCTAGTATTAGTTCAGATGGACAAATTCTATTTTGGGACACTAGATTGATTGACAAAGATAGTAAAAAGACATAATAAGATGTATTTAATCATTTTATTATTAATTAGATATCAACTATCCCTTGGAAGGCTACTTATGGAATATAATTGTATAGACCAGAAGGAGGAGGTATGATGGGTGGAGGATAAATTTAATTCAGAAAAAGTATTATTTATAATTTAATAAAATTAGATTAAAAAATACCAACTTTATCAGGTACATCAGATGAAGGTGAAGTTTTTATATTAGATTGGGGAGAAAAATAAGGAGAAGAAGGATAAAAGAATTAATTAGTGTCTTCAATTTGGTAATAATAAAGAAGTATGAGACCACCTATTGCTTTGGATGTAAGTCCATTTTTTGAAGATGTTATATTAACAATATATGATTTCAATTTTTGTGTTTGGAAACACAATGTTACTTTTCCAATATTTGAAAGTCTTATTATGAAAGGAGCCCATATAACTTGTGGTGGATTTTCTCCTTATCGTGCTGGTGTTATAATTGTAGGAAAGACTGATGGTAATTTAGATGTTTGGGATATGTTGGATTAATCTCATAAATGGACTATTTAATTTTAAGTAGTTGCATGTGCTATAACATCATTAAAATTTAATGATAATATGGCTCATATTGTTGCTGTTGGTGATTCAGATGGTACATTACATTTACTAGAATTTCCATAAAGTTTGTGTAAAGATTAAGGAAATGAAGTTAAGGCTATGAGATTATTCTGGGAAAGAGAAGTCAAAAGAGTAAATTATTATTCAGAAAGATTTAAAATTAGAGAATAATAAGCTAAATAATAAAATGAAAAAGACATTTAAGCATAACCTGCTAAAGAAACAAAATAATCTGGTGATGTAAAATTATATTTATTATCAATTAGACTAAAATATTAGATGAAATATCAAACTTTGAAAATGAATATTAAAAATTCAAAGATGCTTTATTAGGTATTGGTCCAAAACCTGAGGATGAGAAAGGTGCTGCCAAAGGTAAGAAATGAACAAAAGTTACATTCAAAATTTATAATTGTCAAATTGTTATATTTTTTTCTTTTTCTTTTTTGAATGATTACAAGATCGAGATTTCATTTAAGTTTGACTTGAATTTGTATTACGAGCAAAATGAACTGATTTACTTTCACAATTTCTCATATTAGTTTTCTTTAATATGCTTTTTAAAGATTTATTATCATCAAATTCAATATTTTATTTCTCAATAACTTTAAATTATTTATTAAACTCTTGGAATTAATTATTTGAACTTGAAGAATTTGATAAATTTTTAGGTAAGTTAGGATCTGTCTTATGCAATTTTTGTTTATTTATAGATTCATTTTATTAATACTTCTAAGCATTATTGAAAATCTAAATACATTCCTAAAAATTATATTATTTATTTATTCTCTTTAGACTTCCATGTATACTTTAAATTAAAGTTATTTCTTAATTCACTTCACTTATTTATAATGAATCCTCAAAAATTTTATCACTTAATTAATCTATTTCCATCTTTTTATTAAATTTCATTCTTTCAAAGATTGTAGCTTTAGATATTTGATTCAATTCTAACAGTTTTAAATGTACACTCTCATGTTTTTTATACATATCACTTTCTTCTGAATCTTATTTTGTGTTATTACATTATGCACATGTTCCCATTAAAAATGCAAAAGTATTATTATAAATTTTATAAATTATTCAAGATTTTATTATACTTTGAACGTATTCAGATAAAAAAAACAGTAATTTTTATTGAACTTTCTTAAATTAAGTATTTTAAAAACTTATATTATACATTTTTGAAATGATTAATAATCATTAATATTTAGAAACTTATCAGTAGTAAAAAACATTAAAAAAGTTTAGCTTAAAAACATTCATAGAATATTTTTTTTGAAATGAATTTTATATGTTTCTTAATTATAAATATTTTTTATTGTTATTAATTCAAAATATGAAGAAGGTTTTAAAATATAATTATAAGGGAAATCTATAGAATAATTAGATAATAATTTGAGAAACATCTATATTTGATATAATAATTGATATATATTGTATTTAAGCTTTTGAAAAATAATCATTTTCAACATATTATTATATTTAGATTAACTACTATAATATTATTATAAATCAAAGTGATCAATTTCCCATTATTGTTCTATATTATATATATATAGTTTTTATTATTATTGATATGAATTTAAGATAATTGGTTATATTACTTTGTTGTCTGTTGTCAAGTATGATTGAATTATAAAGTTTTTATTTCATATTAAATGGAAATAAATAAATTGAATGAAGTTAATCCAGATGATTTAGATGTTATCTTTAGAGGAATCTAATTATTTATTGATCAAAAAGAGAATGATTTAGAAACAACAATATCTCAATTAGTTGATAAATACAAATATTATTAACTTCAGGATCATGATAAAAAGTTTTAATTATTTTGTTAAATAAGCAGATTATTCCATCGATTCTAGATTAGAGTATCAGAGTTAATTGAAAAGTGTAAAAATTAAAATGCCATTAATTATGTATTGAGCATCAGAGATATACTTAATTATAAGGCATAGAATTTTGCTGTTATACTTAATAAAATTCATAAGAGGTGTGAGATGCAAGCCCATTAATAAAATGAAGACAATCCATAAATTCAAATGAAAAAATCAGTTCCTTCATGGCAGTTAAATAGTTAATAAAATCGAACGTTGTTCTAATTTTATGATATTGATTTTTGGAAACTTTATGATATTATGCTTCTTAATAAGTAAGAATTTACCTAATTAGACAATATTGTTCAAATCTTATTGTTTATCATTAATCAAAGAATGAAAATGTAGAAAGATTATTTCTATCCAGTTTAGAAAGAAATTAAAGATTTCTATAATCCAAAACCTTACCATTAATGGAAATAACAATATTAGCAGACAAAGCTAAGAAATTAAAATTTCTTTAACTTACTTAAACAATGGAAACACCTTATGCAAATAAAAATATTACAATGTTTGGCAATTAGAGTCCAACCAAAAAAACTTAAATTAGTGTTAAACATTCTATGTCGATTAGTCCTTAAAGAACTTAAAGTAGAGACCCATAAGATTAAGATATAAGAAGTATGTTTGATACAGAAACATGCAATTTGTTTGATAACAATTACAGAGTTACTAGAGCAAAGAATTTATCTTTACATAATGACAAAAATGTTGTTGGTTGTTCTACTTAATTAAAATAGAAAGGAAAATCAAAATTATAGTAAGAGAATTTTAGTCCTTAAAAAGGATGTAAAAATTAAAATTGGATGCTTCCAGAAATTAAGTCTCCTTTTTCTTAAGATTAAAATGTTATACATACAAATTAATAAGATTCTCTAATCAAACCAATACAAATATATTAAAATTATGCTTTTACTTAAAGTCCTGATAGAAGATCTGCAAAGAAACCACCTCTAGGATAAGATCTCAATAGTACTCTTTGTTAATAATTATTACCATAATATAGAAGTAATAATAGAGCATTCTAAACAATAAAAAGCTTTATCCGTAAATGATTTTAAATAAATGTTATTTATTTCTATAATTTATTTTTAATTTACTCTTATTCTTATGACATCTTTCTCAAATTTTGATGAGAAAACTTCACTTATAAATTAATGTGTTAAGACTTTGCAAGTAGAAAGTTTAATTTTTATAATTTTAGATAGCTCCATCTAGAAGAACATAAAGTGATTTAACTCTACTGTTACAATTGGTTGAAGCTATTACTTTTTTTAAAAATCTTTAATCTCAAAATCCTGACATAGTCCTCAAATGTATGTCAGTACTAAGTTACAAGACAGTAAAAAAAGAAGAAGTAAAAAAAATTATTTTCTAATTTTTTAGATATTGTTTCATGTTGGAGATTAAGGATCATTATTTTACATAATTCTTAAAGGATCTGTTGGAGTTTTTATATTATTACCAAGTCCTGAGGATTCCAAAAAATTTGAATTAAAGGAAGTGAATGTATTAAAAGCTGGAAATAGTTTTGGAGAATTGGCTTTATTGAATGATAATGCAAAACGAACAGCAACAATAATAGCAAAAGAAGATTGTATACTTGCAGTTATGGAGAAACATCATTTTAAAACAATTTTAGGTGCTTAAGAATAATAAAAAGTTTAAGATAGGATATCATTTTTATGTTCGGTAATAATGAAATTTTATTATTCTTAATTATAGTTTCCATTTCTATAATCGTGGTCATTTAGAGAAATAAAAACTATTAGTTATCATTTTGAACCAATTTAAGTAACATTAAATTAAGCAGTCATCAAATAAAATGATTACTGCTCCAATTTTTATATAGTGAGAGAAGGGTACAATATCTATTATGTTATTTAGAAAGTAATTTCGAAGTAACATATACATTAAATGATTCACACAAATTAAAAGGAGTATTCTCAAATCATAGCATGTGAATTTTATAAATAAATTATAGATGTGTATTAGGACCAGGAGAGTTTTTTGGAGAAGAAGCATTTTTAATGGATGATGGAAAGACTTTTATATTAAAACTCTTTAATATCTTTTCGGTAAGATGGTCAAGAGTGAAATGTTCTATTATTTGTAGAAGTCAGTGCGGTTAAATATTAAGAATAAGTAGAGAAGACATAATTAAGTATTTCAACTTTTTAATTTTTAAAGGAGGTTTTGGGATGAAAAAACACAATCTGTTTTTATATCATTATTATAATCTATTCATCAATTTAGATTGAATAAGATGAGATATTATGAATAAATGGCAGATTAAAAATAAAAATAACTTAATGGTTAAGAAGGGTTTGATTAATTTGTTAAACCTATTTTTAAAGTAAAAGTAAAAAATAATTGTGCCTTAATAAGGAAAGAAACTTAAATGGAAAAATCTGATGCAGTATTTGATTTAATTTTATATTATAGGAATATTAATTTTATAAGAAATAGGAAAAAAAAGCCTTTGAATAGTTTAAGAAATTATTTAAGGATAGAAATTGTTCTTATGCTTAAGTTAAAACATTTTTTGATTAAAAGACTATAGGATCATAAAATTATATTGATAGAGATACTTATTTTAAATTGTTTTTTAGATTTCCTTCATAATTAAAGAACAGTGAGATCTCATAAAATTTAAGTTAATAGCAACCTAGTACTGCAAGAACTCATTATAGATTAACTACTTAACCTAAGGAAGAACATGAAAGAAGTGCTCATTTTTCAACAAAATAGAGAACACAACTTATTTTGTAGAAGCTTAAATTAAGTGAAGTAATGCCAAAAAGCAAGACTTTTCATAGTAGTAACAGTCCTTTAAGTATTCAAAGACTTGAACTAAAAAGATTTGGGACTTAGAGTTACTTATAAATGAAATGATATAAAATTATTAATATTTTCTTTTAATAAAACAATATGAAGAGATTATTGAGGAATGCTCAAATTTTGTAAAAATAATCACGATATTATCATCATGATCCAGCCAGTAGGGCATTAGTAGGTAAAGATTGAATTTTATATAATTCAGGATCACCTTAAGAGATTGCTCCTCCTATACACTTTAAATTATATTATCTCCCAGACAATGTGGCCAAGACTGGCTAAGGTATGGGACATCCTCATTATAGTGCCTATTAAATGGAAGGTATCACCACTTATGATAATTGGGAATACAAGTAGATTATTAAATTGATCTAGATATTATGGTCAATGGTGGCATATAGGATCTGTCTTCTGGAATTCATTGATGTTATTCTATCCTTTATTATTATGGTTTGTTATTGAGTAGAGTGAGGTATTTGAATAATCATATATATATTTTAGCAAGAAGCACTTCTGGTGAAGGATGATATTTTTAAGAAATATTTCAATGAAGCAGGAGGATTCTATTAATATACCTTTATAGGTCCAGAAACCACTTTAAATTATTGAAGCATTCATTGGAAAATATAAAAATATATTAAATATTACATAATGAATTCCATCCCTAAGTTAGGGGATATGTAAAGTAATGTACAAACTATGAGTTCTAGTCAAAAGTAAACCTAAGATTTCTAGTAATACAGGCTTGCCACCACTTCTATCTCCCAGAGTTAAAATTGACCCAACTAAAACAGCTCAAATTCCCCCGGCTTTTAGATCAATCTCAACAGTGAAAAAGAAATCTATAGAGAAGAAGGAAGATACTCGACCTGTTACAGATAATACATAAAATGAGAAAGGTTATCCATCAGCTAAAAAATAAAGAGCATAGGGTCTCATTATTCGTAAACTCTAGAATAGACAATCAAAATTATAAACTTCAAATTAGGAACCATTAGAATAGATTATAAATAAATTTTAAAGTCCTGCAGTTAGAATGCTTGAGTTCCCAATAAATGGTATTGATTCTTTTTGACATAGACTTTAATGATGATACATTAATAAAGGAAGAAGTACTCTAATAAAATGAATAAGTGACAGAGAATAGATTCACAACAATGAAGAATCAATCTTTATCAAGCTCTTAAAAGTTTGTTTTAGAATCTTCAAATTCCAATAAATAAGGCTAAGATTCATCTTCAAATTCATAGTTTGATTTCAACACTAAAATTCCTACTTTTACTGAAGGGGAAATGATTGGTGCTGGTTCATTTGGATAAGTTTATATAGCATAAGAAAATCAAACTGGAAAGATTTATGCTGTGAAAAAGATAAATCTTAGAGGAGACTTTGATTAGGAAGATTTAAAAGGATTGAAAAGTGAAATTGATTTACTGAAAAGTATTAAACATTAAAACATAATCCGTTATGTATGGAATTGTGAAAATGAAGATTATTGGTTATTATATTTAGAATATTTATCATAAGGTATTTTAAATATCATTATAATAGGAACCTTAACTTAATTAATCGAAAAGTTTGGGCCCCTTTCTATTAATACAATTCGTTCATATTCAAAATAAATATTATAAGCAATAGCTTATTTACATGAAAATAATATAATACATAGAGATATAAAAGGAGCTAATTTATTATTAGGAGTTGATGGTGAAATTAAATTAGGAGATTTTGGATGTAGTAAAATTAAAGAAAAAACTATTTAACGTTCTAAATAGAGTGGAGACATCTTACATTCTCTTAAAGGAAGTATTCCATATATGGCTCCTGAAGTAATTATGTCTTATATATTTATAGGTTGCTAGTTAAGATGAGAATTGCAGAGCTAGTGATATATGGTCATTTGGATGTACTGTTTTGGAAATGGCCACAGGAAAAAAACCATGGCATGAACACAATTTTGATAATCCTTTGAGTGCTCTTTTATATATTATCACCGATAATGCACTTCCTCTAATACCTGATGATTTGGATCAAGATCTATAATCTTTTATAAGAATTTGCTTATAAAGAGATCATAAATAGAGACCAACTGCTATGCATTTGTTATAACACTAATTCATAATTAATTAATGATTCAATTCTACTTGATATATATTTCATTTTTAATAATAGTCGAACTCTCTGAATTCATCTTAATTGACTAAATTATTTTCAGGTGCATAAGAATTTATTGCCTCTTCTGCAGTAAATTATTTATCAAAATTTTCAAGCCATGCATCTCCTTATATTTAAGGTTTAAATGGAGTTTCAATATCTTTTTTTAACAGTTTCTCCCAATTAACTCCCTTTAACCATACATGATTTTTGACATCATCAGTGTTATTATATCCTAATCTAAGTTTTGGATCTTTGATTGTTAACTAATAATATATAAGATTTATAGTAATACTTTTTAGATAAAATCTTTTGCTTCATTAGAAATTTAAGGAGTAGTAGGAAAATTAATATCTTTTGTTTAAATTTGTTTAAACATTAAATCTTAATTTTTGTTGTAAAATGGTGGAAGTGCATATAACATTTCATAAGTAAGTATTCCTAAAGCCCACCAATCAGCAGCCATAGAATGTCCAATTTCAAGAAGAATTTCAGGAGCCAAATATTCAGGTGTACCACAGAATGATTTAGTTAATTCATTTTTTTTTAATATTTTGGCCATACCAAAATCTGTTAAACATAAATGACCTTAATCATCTAATAATACATTTTCTGGTTTTAAATCTCTATATATAATATTTTTTGAATGTAAATGTTCTAATGCTAAAATCTATTTATAAATAAAAATAAGAATTTACAATTTCAGAAACATAAAATTTTGTTCTATTTTCTTCAAATCTTTTTACATGTTTAAGATGTTAAAATAATTCACCACCTTTCATAAATTAAGTAACAAAAAATAATTTTTCAGGAGTTTAAAATGCCCAATTTAATGAGACTAAAAATGGATGATTTACATGTTCTAAAACTATTCTTTCAGTTTTTGTATGTTCTAATTATTCAGGATCTGCTATATCTTCTTTACGTATTGATTTCATTGCATAATACTATTTATCACTCTTTTTCTCTACCAACATAACTTTACCATATGCACCTCTACCTAATACTTTTATTAAATCAAAATCATCTATTGTAACAGCTTCACCTTTCTATTTTGCATACAATGTTGATGTCTTTGCTCTTGTTTTTAATCGTTCTTCTGTCTAGGAATCTAATCTTTTTCTATATTATTCTTCATTCATTAATTCTGATCCAGTTGTTGGTAACCTATTAATACCCTTTTTTTTATCCACTTTTGTTGTAGTATATGCAGTTAAAGTGAGTTCATCTTTATAGAATATTTGAAGTGCAGCTCCTTTATTTTATTAACAATATGCTTTTATTATACACAGTACTGCATAATCTCTTCTTTCTGAACTTGAATATCGATAATCATATTCTTCAGGAACATGTACTACAAATTCTGTACCAATCAAACCTATGGTTATGCCATATACTCTTTTTATTGGAATTTTTCTTTTGATACTCAACTTTGAGAGATTATATAGATTATGTGTTGTAATGAGAATTGTTCTTTCTTATCTTTTATTAACTTCATTAAATTTGTAGAGCAAACTAGAAAATAAAACATATTCTCCTGGCTCTAAAATTTTTGTAATTGATTTTTCATTAGCAAGATGCAAATCATCCCAAGACTCTTATTTCATTAATTATAATTTATCTAATATCAAAATATTGAAATTGTAGAATAATAGATAATTTAATATATATATATAATAAAATAATTAAGGATATTACAAATGATAATTTGTTGAAATTACTAAATCAATTATATAAATGTATAAATATCATAATTGATTCATTTAACATAAAAATTATTATAATGATGATGACTTTACTAAAATTCAAATAAAATAACAATCAAAATACAACTAACCTTACAATTATGATAAATATTATTTTTAATTTTATTCTCTCAATTTAAGGAATCATTCATAAGTAAATATATATATATAAATTAATTTTTGTTTCTCAATAACATTTTTTATCATATCAATTTTCATTATAATTAAGCTGTTATTTTTGTTAATTCTTCAACCTCGTTTTCATTCAAAAACCAGCATTCATTCTTTCTAATAACACATAATTCAATATTTTTATTACCACTCTCAACAACATCCATTAAAGCCTATTTTTTAATAAAATATATATTTTTACTTTAGTTGTAAGTAAAAGTGCATCTTTCTCATGTAAACCTTCTCTCCAATGTTTCTCTAAAAAATCTTTGACTTATTTTGCACTCTTTCCCAATGAAGTTGCTTTCCATTCTGAACATGCTCCTGAAGGATCAGTTTAGAAAAGCTTTGGTTTATTATTACTAAATCCTGCAATAAGAGTTGAAATTCCATAAGGTCTAGCACCTCCTCTTTAAGTAAATTTTTATTATTGTTGACTAGTAAATTTAGCAATATAATCAACAGAAGGATCATCTTCGTAGTAAATCTTGTATTATTAACATTATAATCTAGTTTGATTTGCCAAGATTCTTGCATCTGCATTCAATCCAGAAAAAGTCATACAAAGATTATGATCTAGATATATATGTAATAAATACCCAATTAATATACTTTCTTAATTGTTTTAACATCTTACAATTTAGATGTGGCTTTCTTTTCTACTCCCAATATTATGGCATCTTTTCCTCTTACACCAACACAACAAAGACCTCTTTTAACTGCTTCCATTGCATATTCTACTTAGAATAATTAACCATCTGGAGAAAATACTGTGAGTGCTGTGTCGTATGACATTATTTAAAAAAAATAATATTAAAAATTCATCCTAATCTTAAGTAATCATCTTCTTCTTCAACATCCCATCCTTTGAATTCAATAAGATCATTTTTACATATCTTTATTGGTCTTTTTTATTAAGTTATTAAACCTTAGCTCACACTTCTTTATTGTGAAGGTACAACTTTAATTTTTGCTTTCATTTCAGGAGTAGGTATACTAATATCTATATGATTTAATGAGTTTTCAATAACTAAATTTTAGAAAAACATATGTTATTATGGTTTCTTTTTAAAAGGACCATTCAATTCTTCAATTGATTTATCAATAATCTTCCTAGCTGATTATGGTTTCTTGTCTATAATCAATAATTTTTAATCCTATGGTGTTTCTTATAGATTATTGTAAAGTGCCATCTTGTGAACTGAATACATAGGTTTAGTTTTTTCAAATTGTCTAGCTTTTTATAAATCACCTAGTTCTTTTTTTAATTAATTTATTTTTTTTTCCAAAAATGATGAACTTTTTGAAGAATTGTTATTCTACCTTCTCTATCTATCTTGAGTTTGAATGATACTTGATCGAGATGATTAAATTTATTCAAAAACTGATTGTCTTTACTTATAGGGAGTTAATTTATTGTTAATGACAAATTTGATTCCTGGTTTGATTAGTCTCATCTAAGTAAATTACTCTCTCTAAGTAGGATTGATTAATTGATCAATTCGATTTGCTACATGTTCAAGATGAAGTATATTAAAGGCTTTCATTTTTTGAGGTGATTTCCTTGAACTTCTCATTTTAATCGAAACTATATATATTATTAATTTAGTGACTTATATAAATGTAATTATTTCATAACAAATCATATAAGCCTAAAAAGAAACAATATCATGAAATTATAATATATTATTTTCAAGTAAGTTCTAACTTAACCTAATTTTACTTATACTTATTCCAAAAAGATCTTTAATATTATTGAATTTTTGAATTTCTGTATATCTAAAATCTACAGAAGTCTCCATTTAAAAATTTATCAAACAAAAATTTAATCCTTTTTGTAAATGTAAGAATAGTAAGCTTGCCATATAATTAGAACATATAGAAACACAAAAGATTTAATCTATTAGAGATTTTCACATTATTAATCTTTTAATAAAGCAACTTACATTGAGTCAGAAAATTTAATTAGATGGTTATTTTATTGGAAAATATATTATTTCATTCCATTAAAACTATAAATACACCTTAATCCAAAATCATATCATATTTAATAACTATCCGTATTATTAGTAATATACAAAATATAGTTATTATTATTTTGTTAATTAGTTTATTCTAAAATGTTAATTTAATGAAATCAATTTTCTTAATAACAAATAATACTTTGTGAAAGCATCAAATCATCTTTCTTAGAATATATGATTTCTTATTTTGAGTATAGATTGTTTTTGATCAACATTATATCTTATTATATGATAAAGAAACAATTGATATTATGCAATATATTTATTATTATTTTTTACATTATATATGATAAAATAATTGAATCATTACTAAACAAATGACGCACGATTTGTAATAGCGATCTATATATTACTCAATATCTCCTAGAATTCAAATTACATTAAATAATTATGAGTGCATTAAGATTTGATGGAAAGGTAGTGGTTATCACTGGAGCAGGTAATGGTTTGGGAAAAGAATATGCTCTTTTTTATGGAAAAAAGGGAGCAAAAGTAGTTGTCAATGATTTAGGTGGTTCTATGAAAGGAACAGGAGCTTCTTCTTCAGCAGCTGATAAAGTTGTTGAGGAAATAAAGGCTGCTGGAGGAATTGCAGTTGCAAATTATGACAGTGTAGAGTTTGGTGAGAGAATAATTGAAACTGCAATTAAAACATTTGGAAAAATTGATATTTTAATTAATAATGCAGGGATTCTCAGAGATGTTTCATTTGAAAAAATGAAAGATGAAGATTGGGATTTAATTTATAAAGTATTTCTTTTTTATTAAAACCTTAGGTTCATCTTAAAGGAACATATGCATGTACAAAAGCAGCATGGCCATATATGAGAGAATAGAAATATGGAAGAATAATTAATACATCATCAGCATCAGGAGTGTATGGTGTATTTGGATAAACTAATTACAGTTCAGCTAAATTGGCTACACATGGTTTAACCCTTGCACTCTCAAGAGAAGGTTTAAAAAGAAATATATTTGTAAATTCTATTTGTCCTGTTGCTGCAAGTCGACTTACTGAAACTGTTATGAGTAAGGAGGTTCTTTCTAGTCTTAAACCAGATTATATTGTACCACTTGTAGCATGGTTGTCTCATGAAGATTGCAAAGAAACAGGATCTATTTTTGAATTAGGAGCTGGTTATATATCAAAATTAAGATGGTAAAGAAATTAAGGATACTTCTTTGATACTCCATTTACTCCTGAAGATGTAAAGGAGAAATGGGATGAAGTATCAGGATTTGGTACTAATGTATATCATCCTTAAACTTCATCTGAAATATTTGAAATATTCTTTAACAAAGAAGAATTTATGAAGTAATAAAAGGAAGGTAAAGCTAAATCAACAAGTCCATCATAGAATACATAACCAACTAATGTAACTTTGAAAGCAGAGAAAATATTCAATTTAATGAGAGCATTTTTAGATAGAGGAGAAGGAAAGGATTTAATACCTAAAATTTAAGGAGTTTTCAATTTTGAAATAATTTTATAAAAAGGAGGTCCAGTAATTAAATCTTGGGTAATTGATTTGAAGAATGGTTAAGGATCAATAAAAGAAGGTAAAGAATAGGGTGATGCTACATTTAATATGATTGATGATGATTTTGAGAGAGTTTGTTAGGGTAAATTATAAGCAAATGAAGCTTTCTTAAAGGGTTTGATGAAAATAAAAGGAAATATGAAAAAAGCGTAATAGATTATTTTATTATTTTAATAGAACCCTATTTACACCAAGCCTATTCCCAGCTCCAACACCAGAAAATTTAGCAAAATATTCTTAAGCAAAATTATGAGAAATATATTAGTATTATTTAATCAAATTAGAGAAAATAATTTACCTTCTCTCCATACTCCCTTTGTAATTTAACCATGTTATTCTGTAAACTCTCCAGTTCCATGTTACAATCCATTCATCCATTAACNTGGTGAGAGAATAATTGAAACTGCAATTAAAACATTTGGAAAAATTGATATTTTAATTAATAATGCAGGGATTCTCAGAGATGTTTCATTTGAAAAAATGAAAGATGAAGATTGGGATTTAATTTATAAAGTATTTCTTTTTTATTAAAACCTTAGGTTCATCTTAAAGGAACATATGCATGTACAAAAGCAGCATGGCCATATATGAGAGAATAGAAATATGGAAGAATAATTAATACATCATCAGCATCAGGAGTGTATGGTGTATTTGGATAAACTAATTACAGTTCAGCTAAATTGGCTACACATGGTTTAACCCTTGCACTCTCAAGAGAAGGTTTAAAAAGAAATATATTTGTAAATTCTATTTGTCCTGTTGCTGCAAGTCGACTTACTGAAACTGTTATGAGTAAGGAGGTTCTTTCTAGTCTTAAACCAGATTATATTGTACCACTTGTAGCATGGTTGTCTCATGAAGATTGCAAAGAAACAGGATCTATTTTTGAATTAGGAGCTGGTTATATATCAAAATTAAGATGGTAAAGAAATTAAGGATACTTCTTTGATACTCCATTTACTCCTGAAGATGTAAAGGAGAAATGGGATGAAGTATCAGGATTTGGTACTAATGTATATCATCCTTAAACTTCATCTGAAATATTTGAAATATTCTTTAACAAAGAAGAATTTATGAAGTAATAAAAGGAAGGTAAAGCTAAATCAACAAGTCCATCATAGAATACATAACCAACTAATGTAACTTTGAAAGCAGAGAAAATATTCAATTTAATGAGAGCATTTTTAGATAGAGGAGAAGGAAAGGATTTAATACCTAAAATTTAAGGAGTTTTCAATTTTGAAATAATTTTATAAAAAGGAGGTCCAGTAATTAAATCTTGGGTAATTGATTTGAAGAATGGTTAAGGATCAATAAAAGAAGGTAAAGAATAGGGTGATGCTACATTTAATATGATTGATGATGATTTTGAGAGAGTTTGTTAGGGTAAATTATAAGCAAATGAAGCTTTCTTAAAGGGTTTGATGAAAATAAAAGGAAATATGAAAAAAGCGTAATAGATTATTTTATTATTTTAATAGAACCCTATTTACACCAAGCCTATTCCCAGCTCCAACACCAGAAAATTTAGCAAAATATTCTTAAGCAAAATTATGAGAAATATATTAGTATTATTTAATCAAATTAGAGAAAATAATTTACCTTCTCTCCATACTCCCTTTGTAATTTAACCATGTTATTCTGTAAACTCTCCAGTTCCATGTTACAATCCATTCATCCATTAACCAGAATATTTTCGACCATCAGCAAATTGAAATGTTCCGAAACCTTATCTCTTATCATTTACATATTAACCAACATAAACTCGACCTATAAATCTTTTAATAATAGAATAGTACCATCAGACCATGATAATATTCCTTGACCATGCATCATTCCATTTTTCCAATCTCCTTGGTATCTTCTTCCATCTGGCCACATCTTTTAATATTATATCAAAAACTACAAATGTTCCTTTTCCTTCAAATTAACCATTTATGAACGAACCTTCATATTTTTCTTTATTACTAAAAACTAAGATTCCATGACCATGTTTTAAGCCATTACGAAATTAACCTAATGATTATTGTAAAAATACCTTTATAATGAGAATCACTTTTTACTTCAATACCATATCCATTATATTTATCATTCAACCATTATCCTGAAAAAATATTAAAAAATTCATTTACCATCATATATAGACCCATCTGAATAATTATACACTCCTTTCCCATGCATATAATTCAAATGGAAATCTCCACAATAATATCCACCTTCTGTATCAAAAAATTTGCCTTTTCCACTTGCATATCCATTTGACCACTATTTTGATTATTAATTGTATTACTTCACCATTATATCTACTTGAATCTGCAAATTTATATTCTCCTTAACCTTAAGGTTTTTTTTTGTACCAGTATCCAGTGTAACATCCCCCATTTTTCATTATAATAGAAGGCAATTTGCACTGTTCTCTATCACTCATTGCTATTAATTTATAATCATCCTCATTTTAAGGCGATAATAATTCTTTTTCGAATAATTTCTCTTCACGTTCTTAGCTTTATTTGCTTGATTTATTTGTACACATAGAGGGTCTAATCTAGCATGAATCCTCTAAAGAATCAAATTCTGGAATTTCATCTGAGTGTGCTTGTTGTAATTTCGAATGAGAGCAATCTTTAACTATCTCAAATAATTTCTTATAGTTTTCTTAAGAACTTGATTTAGGTCTTCTATATTTTTAGATTTAAGTTAAACTTTTGTAAACTTTCTAAATCAGACTCAAAAACAGTCTAAAATCCTTCTGAATGGGCTTTCGTATGTCCAGATTATTCTAGCATCTTTTATATTCAAGATCAATTAAATATTAAATATATATATAAAATTTCAATTATTATTCAAAATTGTATATGATAAAGAAACTTCTTTTTAGTGAAATTTAATATATTTCTATAAAAAAAACAAAGTTTACTAGAAAAATGAAATAAATGATAAGTTTAATTAAGAAAATTCCTAATTATAGTTAAACAATTATACTTAAATTAATAATAAATAAAAATTGAATTTGAGTAAAAGGATTTATTTATATAAATGACTTCTAAAAAAGATAATAAGAAATTTATTATTAAAGGTTATGAAATATACAATTAATGTAGAATATCAATACTCTTTGTCAAAATTAAGTTATTCTAATAGATCCAATTTAAGTTATCCTAAAATCTTTGAATATGGGCCACTTAATTTTTCAATTTATTCTTCTTCAGTGTTTTTTTCTATAGAATATTAATATTTATATAATACCTTTATTGTTTCCTTAAGCAGTAGATTCCAACATAGATAATAAATCTGTTTTTTCCATTTATTTTAATGAAGCATTATCTTAATTTACAATAGCTTTAGATATTGCTGATTTAAATCTTTGAATTCCCATAATCTTTTCTTCCAAAGTATCCTTAACAATTAATCTAAAAACTTAAACAACATTTTTTTATCCAATTCTATGAGCTCTATCCATTGCTTATTAATCATTTACAGGATTATAATCATGATCAAACATTATAACAATATTAGCTGAACTTAAATTCAATCCCAATCCACCTACTTAAGTTGTAAGAAGTAATACACGAATATCTGGATCTTCATTAAATTTAGTCACTAAAGGATATCTTTAAGTTTATGGAACACTTCCATCTAAAATTAAATATTATAATCCTGGAAATTATGCTTTTAATAATTACTCAGCAATTAATTATAGAGCAGCTCTAAATCTAGAAAAGACTAAAACTTTATTAAAATTTGTATAAATTGTAATTTAATCGCTTTGAGTTTATTATTAAGGAACATCATCTGTTGATTAAAATCCTAATTATTGTAAAATATCTTTCAAAGCAATCATCTTTCCTGAATGAGTATAGCTTTCAGGCTTTTCTTATTTATCTAACAATAAATTTATTTCTTATTCAGCCAACATTTCAATATTTTCTGTTTTTACCTTTTTTTTTGGTCTTTTATTAGGTAATATTACACTTCTGACTAAAATTGGATGATCTAAAGCTTATCTTAATTTATGTAATAATTTAAGAACAGATTCACAAACTTTATTTTTTTATTCTCCTTAAGTTTTAGTGATCTATTATTCAATATCAGTAGAAAATGAATTTGATTCTAAAATTTAATAAATTTAGGATTATAAAGGTTCTGATAGAGTACAATAATAATCTCCTATAATTTTAGCTGGTAATTGTGGTAATACATCTTATTTAGTTCTCCTCATAATAAAAGGTAAAACCTTTTTATGGAGTAAACGTAATGTCTTTATTTATTATTCATCAAATAAAATTTCATCTTCTGTTAATGAGAAGATATTTGTATGAAATGCTTTAGAAAAGTTTCTTTTAAAATACTCTTCATCACCTAAATAATTAGGTAATAAAATATCAAAAAGAGACCACAATTCTAATAGGTGATTCTAAACAGGTGTTCCAGACAAAACAATTTTATGTTTTGCTTTTAGGCTTCTTATTACTCTACTAGTCTTATTTTTACTATTCTTTAAAATATGAGCTTCATCTAATATTAAAAAATAAAATTCTTGATTAAGAAAATTTTGATTTAATTTTAATAATTAATTGTAAGATACCATAATAAAATTTCCTTAAAAAACTCCATCATAGATATGTGGTTTTAACACAGCATTACTTATATACTTTTTAGTTTCTGCATACCAATGATCTACAACTGTACTTGGAGCAACAACAAGAGAAACCAAATTTTCATTTTTTCTTTTAAATACTTCATTTGCTAATACTACTAATGTTTAAATAGTTTTTCCTAATCCCATATCATCACATAAAGCTGCATGTAAATTATATTTTATTAAGAATCCTAACCATCTAATACCATCCCACTAATAATCTCTTAAAATACTACGATCTTTAATTCCACCTTCTAATTTATAATCCACTTTTGTCATCTTACCAAATCCTATTTAAAATTCTTTTGCCTTTTAAAATTTATTAATTAATTATGGTGATATTGGAGAATATGGTATATCCATGATAGTTAATATTGGCACTAGAAATCCAAATAATTTGCTAGCTGCTTATGCTATATTTGGATCTTTAGCTGTTAACTTTTTAATAGCTTTTAAAGTAAGAAAACCACTTATTGGTGCTAATGAGATTGGATATTCTTTTAAAATTATATTCAAAATCTCATACATTCCATTTTCATTCCTTTTTAATAATTAATTAATTTGCATTATCACTTAATCAAATACACTTATATTCTTTGAAATAGATAAGAAATGTATAAATTTAGCACAAAGTTTAAGCAAATTATTTTTTAATATAACAACCTTTTTAAATGTTTAATCAAATTCTAATAATATTCCACCTTTCTAATCATCTAAAATAATTTTATTATTATCATCATCATTTATATTACTTAATACTGGTAAATAATTTAATAATTTTGATAATAGATATTAGGCCCATTTGTCAAAATCAGAATGTTCAGGATTTTATAAGAATAATGAATATGCATTCTAGATTAAACCTATTCCCCATAAATTATATTTTAAATCTTCTACTTTTATAATTAATTTAGATGTATGAGTCATTAGAGTTTAATTAAATTTTAAATCATTTGGAATATAATTCAATTATTATAAAAAGAGTCTCTCAAAAAAGAGATGCCAAGATTAGAAATCCACTTAATTTTTTAATAAATGCCAAATCAATCTTTTTCTACCATAATCCTTTCCTAATTAAATATATATAAATATATCATACTTTTCAATTGATTTTTTTAAGATAAAATATATTATACTGTTTATTATGTACTCTATTTAACATAAAGAGATGTTAAATCACAACAATTTGGATTTAAAGACATTTATCTAGCTAATCTTTCTGATGCAATATCCTGTATTAAATGAAATTTGTCTATTCTTAAATAAATAAAAATTTTACCTAATTCTTTGAATTAATGATTCAGTGTGATCTGAGGTTAATACCTTAAAATTCAAACTTAATTCATTACTCAACTTTGTAAAAGCTTATAGATTTTAAACTAAATCTGATGTAGTATCCTATAATTTCTATATTGATTCTTAATCCATTTCATAATCAATTTAACTCAATTGCTTAAGTTAATTTAGAATAATAGGATATAATTATCTAAGCTTTGGTGAATGAGCTGGTGCTATTGCAAAATCTCCATAAATTTTAAGAAATCCTTATATAATTGTTAAATATTCTTATTCTTTTTCTATTTACATATAGTTTTTCAATAGAATATTTAATTTTTGCATTGAAACTTGAATTTTGAGATCCAATTCATCAAAACAACATCCATTTTAACGTGTACTATCTACTTCTAAATTTAAATCTGTTTTATTATTTATATAATTTCTGAAAGTATAAATAAAATTGATTGGATCTAAATCAACAGTTATTTAATGGTTATAATTAATATCTTTAATTAAATAAGCAGATTTAATCATTCTATATGTTTAATTATCAATTGGACTCTAAGATTATTGAGATAAATTTGGATAATGTATATCTATTGATTCTCGTTTCATACCATCAAATAAATAAAAATATTTCTTAAATTAATGATCAGTAGAGAAATTATGAACAAATTAAATAAATTCGTATAATTATTCTTCTTCTAAATGTTTAGATAATTATTCAAGTATATTCATTAATGTTTAAAATGTTTCTGGTTTCTCTTCAAATATTCCAGTCTAAAATATAATTTTCATAAAATTTATTGTTCTATGATCATTTTATTTTTATGTTTGTTATTTTGAAAAAGCTAATAAATATTTATAAAATTATTCTTTGACCTCTACAATTCTATGAAAAAAGAACTTTTTTAAAATATCTATTTCTCCTTAAAATTATTTTTGTATTTTAAAACCTATATGAAATAGAGCACCTAGAAATTAAAATATTGATTTTCCAGCAAAACTGATATCATCTTATTTTTTTAATTATTCCATAGTAATTGAATAAACAGTATTAAAATATTTCTAATTTAAACCTAATTATAAAAATTCTTTCCATATATCTGCTAATAATTCTAGAATCTCATCTTCATTATCTCTTTAACCTACCTACAAAAGCATTTCTGAAAAATTATCAAAAATTACTTACAAATGATCTTTTAATAAACCTTTTACTAAAAATAAAGCACTTTAAGAGACTTCATATATTTACACTCTTTAACCTTCTTCAATAAAATCTTTCAATAAAAGTACAAATTTCATAAAGCTATCAGGATAATGAATCCAAATATTAGTATTATAATTTCTATCTGTTAAAAGTGTAATAGCAGTTTAACATGCTGCTTCTCTTACAATCATAATAGTTTAATTTCCAAAATAATCTGCAAATCTATCCATTACAATTAATACACAACATCTTGTCAATAAATATTCTAATTTATTTAATTAACCATTTTTATCACTTATATATTCAATTAAACTACTTCTCAAAATTCCATTAATTTCCTTTTCATCACCTTTTATCAAATAACTGAATCCCAAATTTAAAAATCCTTTTTGTCTAACAATAGATTTCAAAACCAGAGCACTTGCATGTCTTTCTTACCATTTATGATTCATTAATTCATAAACTGCTCTATTATAAATTACATTAAAAGGGTTTATTACACAATATTTTGTACTTTAATTCTTCTTTTAAGTAGATGGTTTCTTTTTTAAATTAGTTTCTTGTTATTTATTTTTAGTTTTATTTTTTCTTTTATATTAACCTACTGCATCATCATCACTAGAACTCTCTACAATTTCATCAGAAGATGAATGCATATCTATAGGTATCTCTGCATCTCCTTACATAAATTCCAATAATCTAGTAACATTTGATAAATTAAAATTCCCAGACAAACCCATTAATCTCATTATTTCTTCTTATTTAATATCCAAAGTTTCATCATCTAATTTTTAATTTTTATTCTCTTATGATCTTTTTAAATATTTCATGTCTTTTCCAAGAATTGCACTTCCATCATTGATTAAATGAATGAAATCAATTTATTCACTTTTTAACTTAATATTTGATTTAATTTCTTCATAATCTCTAATTTACTCTTATTACATAGCATCCTCTACTTATTGATCTAATATTGGTTCAAAATGAAACAAATTTTCAGGAATGGAGTCATTAGATGATGATAATAAATATTCTTCAAGTCGTTCACTATATTTAATTAAAAATTAATTACTTGTAGATCTTGTATGTTCTTTCAATTATTGCAGCAGCAATTTAAGAATGTTCTAATCTGAGTCGAGGATCTTGGGATCTTGAATATATTAATTTATTTGTTTTTCTTAATATTTAATATAGACAGGCAGGGTAATCATTATAGACATTTACTATTTAAGCCAGAGCCAAGCTAAAGAGTTGCTGATTTTTGAAATCATTGAATAATGCAAAAAGTTTATTTATTTTATCTTCCATTTATTTTTAATAAAATAAATGAAATATTTCAGGTGCCTTTTAAAGTTCTGTTCAATTAAAAAATTTTAAATTAATTATTATAATAAAAATAATAATAATTTATAAAAAATATATTGTCAATATTAATATCACCAAAATATTCAATTTTTAGTTTTTATCTAAATTTAATAACAATCTCAGAATACATGAAATACAAATTAATCATTAATCCTAAAAAAAAGAGGAAAAAAGGTTTTTAAGTTATAAAACTATTATTATTAAAACGAATAATTTAATATGAGGTGTATTAATGATTATTTTTCATTATATTAGATTTAAACTTTAATTAAGTTCAATGATTATCTTTATTGAGCAAAAACGAGAGTTTTAGAGTGAGTTAAACACTTACTTTCTTAATGTACTTAAAATTCTCAAAGCATACTAAAATTTCTCAAAAAAATTGTTTAAATAAAAATGATAGAAATTCAAATATTCTCCAAGAAAGATAATAAATATTTCTTGTTATGTTTCAACATAATTTTTATGTTTGAATATTTATATTGTTAATATCGTGATTAAACAAGTAATCATTCCTATTCCAAAATATTTATTGTTCCATCAGATTTAGCATAATAAGGATTATGCCTATCAGAAAATTTTTTTGCCTTTATTGACACATCATTTATAATCAAAGGCTTTATCCACTCTTTTTTTATGATAAATTTACTAAAATAATGTAATATTATTACCTCTCTTCTCCAATAACAGCCCCATCATCTATTGGTAAAATAATCATCATAAATGTCCCTTTTGGAAAATGTGAAGAAACTTCCTTAATTTGAATTCGGCTTAAGCTACCATACCCTTTTTTTATTACTGTTTATTAACATCCTTTAAAAATGGATTGGTGTTTGTTATTATGGGTAAGTTTTTTAGGAATTTTGTCATAAGTCCAACTAATATTACTTTCTATACATACATTTGTAATTCAACAAGGAGATTATTTACATTTACTATTGTTCTTTCATTTTAAACAAGCTTAAGTTTAATTTGAAAAATTCTGTTTCTGTAACAAGGAAGCTCTAAATCTTCTTCCATTTAAAGTTCATATTTATATTACTGATTCCTAAGAATTTGAATCTAGTTTAATGTTTGTTGAGGTTATTTATCATACATTCTAGAAATCACTTGATTCATCTTCTCTAGTTGTTTTTGTAATTTTTCCAGAGTTTTTTACTTTTCTGTATACATTAGTTAAATCTACTCATTTTGATTATTTATTTATTCTGTTATTTGAGTAGATATCTCAGAAAGACAGAAACTGATATCCATCAAGCTTATTGGTGTATGACTATTCATTTAATTTCTGTAATTAAAAGATAAATGGAGGCATATTAAAAGGTTGATTTATATTCTTGTCTAAAAAGATATTGCAATTAATAGTGCGTTGTAGCTTTAATTAAAATAAACCAAAACTATGTCATACAATTTCACTAAATTCAAAAAAAAAAATGCACCAAATTTTCATAAAAACATTATAATATTAAACAAATATTAACATATTGAAATGGATTAAGAAAGTATTTAAATTATTAATTTTAAAATTAATATTAAATAAGTTTTAAAGAACTTTTGATTCTTATTCAATAAATATAATTATTAAAGAATATAAATCATCATTATTCTTCCATCTATTCAATCTCTTCACTTGATTCATCTAATTATGGCCTTTTCTTAAATCCCTTGCTTGGTAAAAAACTGGAAGTTACAGTTTGAAATCTTCCATCTCTAAAGTTGTTCACTTCAAGCATTTTTTGATGTAAATGAGTAATACCCATACGAGTATTCGAATATTTCTTATAAGTCCAAAATTATAATTACCTACATAAAACTTGGTAAAAGAGATTTTCCATCTTGTTCTCTATCTAACATTTATTTAAAATTAGGAGCTGTAGGAGTTCTAAATAATTTACTATTTGGATCCTTAGAATATACATCAAATTCAAAATAAGTTTCATGATTATAAGGTGGTATTTTAGTCATTATATCTTTTCTCTTTTCTAATTTATCGAATGGTGCTCCACAACTGCCCAATTATCTATTTATTAATTCATTCGTATACTTTTTACCAAATTCAAAATTTGGATGATAATCAGGGGCAAATTATTTCTTTTTATAAATAATCATTTAATCTCTTGACAATTGTTTTTCTAATTAGACTGATGGAGTTCTAGGAATCTTACTCCACGAATCTGTTACATTCAAATATGTAAATCTATCTGGATGTGGAGTAGGTCTTCCAAAAAATATGTCAGGTCTAATGATTTTTTTATAAATATATACCTTGGCGACTATCTTGTCAAATCAAGAAAACATGTTCTAGAAAATCTTGGTCTATCTACAATTGGTTTGCTATCAAAATATCAATTCATTACTTACTCAATATTCTCAGGTTCTCCATGCTTTCCTGGAACTTCTAAAGGAATAGTATGCTTAAGTGATTTATCATAATCATGAATTGAGTGAATTGCTCTGTTAAATCATTATTTCAATAAATACTTATCTAGTTCACTGTATTTAACATGATACTACCCACAAGAAGGTTTACTATCTTTACTCAGTTTTGTATAATGACCTACTTATCTAGACAGTTGTTTCGAGAATGGTTGGGAAAGTTTGACTTAATTTTTGCGTTAAATCAATTCTGCTTCTGTTATTTATTCTTATTATTTCTTGTTTGATATTTCTGGCATTTTTTTATCAGCTTATTGATTCACATCTTCTGATGAAGCAACAGATTAAGATTTCCCTTTGAAATATCTGGGCCTATTGTTGATAATCTCTTCTTTTCTTTAAAATACAATATATTTCTCTGAAGTAATTTTCCCTGCCTTACTAAACATATTTTGCACATCATTTTAATTATGAATTAAGGCCATTTTTTTATATAAAAAAAAATAATATTTTTATCATCTTCATATAAAAGATAATAAAAATATATGAAATATAAAAATATAGATGTATTTATATATAAATATATTGATTTGTTTGGTTATTCTACAAATCTAATATCAAAACCATTATAATAATTTTTCAACATAAATTAATTTCAATTTTTAAATTATTTGTTTATATTTTGATTATCAAATAAGATTGAAAGTTGAAATATTATTAGGAATGATAAAAATTAATTAATATAGGAACTCTACTTTAATTAAAATCCTTCTAGTTAAGTATTATCAACATTTATCCCACAATTATTTTTCAAGGTATGAAAAATAACATTTAATATCATTAAAAATTTATTGATTAGACAAATGTGAAGCTACTTATTTAATATTTCAAAGATTGAATTATTTGTAAAAGAATTCTCTTGAAAATCATTATTGTAAATCTATCATCAAAAATTTATTTAAATTTGAAATAAAATAGAATTTTAACTTAATTGATTGGATTTGTAACATAACAGAATTTTTTATTAAGGAAGATTGAATAAGAGAATAAAGAAAGAAAATTACTTACTTTAATATTTTTAATATCACTTTTAAAATTTTTTTTATTAAAATGAAAAACATTAAAAAATAAATAATAAATTAATTAATTATAAGTATCTAATTAGAAATTATTAATCTAAATTTCAATAAATTATAATATACTTAACAGCCAGATAGAATTTATTAAGAATTGATATTCAATAATTATTTCTAATATCATAAAACCATGAATAATTTAATAATTCTTTTGCTTATGGTCTCCTGGCTGGATTAAATTACAGCATTGACTATAAGACTTCAAGGGCTCTATGATCATTGATTAATAATGGTACAATTTAAGTAAGATCTTTGGGTTGATGTATTGTAATATCATCTTTATAATTTGAAAGTTTAGACAAACCAATATAATTATCATCGAATGGAGTTCCAAGTACCTTTGAAAAAATTAAAATATAAAATTACATCCATAATTTGATACAATATACACTTTTCACTATCCCCTTTAAACAGTGGTTCTTATGCTAAACATTCAGCCATAATACAACCAACAGCCTCTTTTATATCAACGCCAGTTCCATAATTATCATCACCAAGCAAGAGTTCTGGTAGTATTGATATTTCTCTGATTGTAGTAACAGGAAAACCTTTATTCTTCAATTTTCCAAGCTTTATTTTCTTAATGGATACAAATTCTCCTCTTCTTTCATCAAATGTTCTTATGACAACACTATAGATTTTTTATCCTAAAACTTTGATTAAGTAAAGTTTTGTAGATATTAATTTTAGAGAGAGTTTTGATTTAATTCAACTTACATTCCTGCAAATATTAATGAAATTTTAAGATTCCTTCACAGAAAATTTAGATTTGCTTAAATTCAATTATCAGTATAAATTTCACATTAATTTATAAAATGTAAATTCATTATATTTATAGAATACTAATAGGGAAATAATTAATTCAAACTATGTCCATACTAACAAAAGCATTATGAATAAGGAAATGATAGTTTTACTAACATTATTAAATATAACCAAATTCATAATGAAATTTATCAATTATTCTCAAAAGGTTATTGTGATATTAGATTCAAAATAAATTTATTTATTATAATGATATCTATACAATAGTCTAAAATAAAACTTCTGATAAACAAAAATACTTATACCTTTAGATTAGTAATATTCATATCTATGTATATCTAGTGAGATTTAAATTGAAGTAAAAATTAAATTTTGCTATCAATATATAAGCTTAAAAGTCTAATTTTTTATAATAAAGGAAGGTATTCTCAAAATCCAAAAAAAAGTTTATTATTAGATTAATAAATAAAATAGTTAATTTTTTTTTAGTTTGAAGATTTAATAATCCTTTTATATTTACAACTGGAGATGAAATTAGAGGCTTTTGCTTCAAATATCTTTTCATTATCAAAAAAGAGATCTAAATATTTAGATATGAATTAATATAGCTATTTTCAAAGAAATAAAAATAATTAAGAAGTTAAAAATATTAAAATTATAAATTAACAACTTAATAAAATTTTTTAATAAAATAGAGATATATCAATTCTTTATTGTTCTTGTCTAGATGAGATTATACTTAAATAATTTATTTGGATATTTTATAAGTAATTAATCATTATCAGTATATATCATAATTGTTTTTAAATGAAAATTCTACAGAATAAAAATGTGAATTAGATAAATATTAGTAAATTACTTAATTATGGTAAAAAAATGAAATATTTAATCAAAAAAAATAGTTATGAATAAGATTGATTAATAATTATAGCAAAGAAAAAATTGTACTTTTGCTGTAAAAATTTAAGTAGTTAAGTTGATAGGACAAATGATAAAATCTCAATTTTTTATATATAAATATTAAGATAATTTTTATTTGAGGATGAGTTAGATTTATTTAGTCTAGATAAAAAAGACTTTTTGCAAAAAAATAAAATAAATTTCTTATTTAAAATAAATAAAGATTATTTTAAATTGGAAATTTGAAGATCAATATAATATTCATTAATGTATATGTTATAATGAATATTAATATTTATGTTTGATTTTATTATATCATAAAATCTGAAATTTAAAAGTAATTATCTTCATTATTTATTTTTATCAATCTATTCTGATACAATGAAAATAGGAGGATAACAAAAATTTATCTTATGCAATATTATAGCTTCATTGATGATTTTGATTTTGAGTCTAACTCAAATAATTGTTAGTTTGAATTCTGGATTGTTTGTTTTATTAGATTTACTATTCTCTATAATATTTTTGATATTAGAATGGAGATAAAAGTTCATTAATCAAACAAATGATTATTATTTGGCAGTAACATAAATGATAATGATTATTATTGAAATTGAAATGTTAAGAGAAAGTGCACATGAAGTATTTACTGTTAAATTATACTAAGGGATCTTTCATTTACATAATATTGAAACTTTTTGCCTTACTATAGATTCTGTAAATATAATTACTTTAATCGTTAATATACTTCATCGGACTTATTTATTTAATAGTAAGATTTGATGAGTACTAGTATGCAATGTCATATGTTGGAATTGCTTTTGCACCAATAATTATTGTAAAATCAAACATAGCTTTAGATTTAAGAGCGAGAAGATGCTAATGATCTTTTAGAATTGTTTAAAGAAACCTTGCCTACTTCAATACTTGTAATTGACAAATAAACAAATAAGCCTCTCTATCATACCAAAAATTTAGAAACTGAATTTAAATTTGACATTCCACATTCTGATGAATTTATAAGATGTCTCCATAGTTTCTATTCTGAAAACAAAATCAAATTATAAAGTATCATTGATAGTTTCTTTCCTCAGATCTATAGTGTTCGTCAAAACTTCAAGAATTTATTTTCTGAAATTATGGACAATTGCCAATATTTTTGTCATAGTCCTTTATTAAAGAAGTTCTCAGGATAATTTGATTTTGCTGAGGATGAATACAATGAAGAAAGAGAAAATAAGAATCATAATGAAATTATTATTGAAACTCCAAAAAATAATTTATATTCAAAACCTTCTATAATTATGAGTGAAGAGACACCTAAAAATTAAAAATCTAAAATAATAGAAGAATTATTGATTAAAAGTTAAAGTTAAAGAACTATTTGTTTAATGTAATTAAAGAAAAAGAAATTAAAAATTAATTTAAATCATTGTCTATGGTTTCGGAAATAGGCATTTATGATAATATTATAAAGTAAAGATATTGATAAATAGTTGGATATTTTATAATAAAAATTAAATGAATAATAATAAATTAATGAAAATAAAGATTTAATACTAGCAACAGTGTTTCATGATTTTAAAACTCCAATTAATGGTATTGTATCTATTTTGGAGACTCTAGATTGTAAAAATGAAATCACATAAATAGAAAAATATTATCATAATATCATTAAAAAAAATGTTTATTTAATGCTCTATATGATTTATGATATTTAAGATTATGCAAGAATTTAAAAAAAAAAGTTGAGATTATGTTTAACTGATTTTTATATCAATGAAATAATTGATGAAGTTATTGAAATGTGCTCAATTCAAGCTGAATAAAAGGGGATTGAGATAAAAACATATTATGATATCCCCTCTTATCAAATTCATTCTGATCCAAATAGAATTAAACAAATAATAATGAATTTTGTTTCAAATTCATTAAAATTTACAGATTAAGGCAGTATTACTATTACTGTTTCATCATTAAATACTGATAAGTCATAAAATATTAAAAGAAGCAATACTTCAAGAAATATTTAATATTAAGTTGGAGATTAAACAATTTAATAAATTAGAAAAAGTTTACAAGGAAGATATTAATAATGTTCCATAAATAAATTAATTTACTCTATATCAATAGAAGATACTGGTTGTGGAATACCAGATAATATTAAACCATAATTATTCAATTTATTTGCAACTTTTTCAAATTAAAAGATTGAAAATAAAAGTGGAACTGGTATTGGGTTAATGGTATGTAAGAAATTAGTTGGTTTGTTGGGTCCATCTGAAACTATAGATCTTTGGAGTGAATAAAATATTGGAACTAAGATGTCATTTTAGATATATGCAAAATTATAGGATAATTCTATTAGATCAGCTAATTATATAAGTTGTTTTAAATAAGAACATTCTTCTTAACATCTTAGTAATTAATAACATGATGAATAATAGAATGGGAAAGATAATCATTAAGTAATTGTGAGATCTTCTCTTTTAAGAATTTATACTAAAATTTAGGAGAAAACTGAAATTGATTTTAATGAACCATCATATGAAGATATTGATTAAACAAAATAAAGAAATATTATTCAATTTTAATCTTTGGGTTTAAAATAATTAAACTAAAAAATTTATCAAAAAGAGGATTCATAAGAAATCTAAGATCCAAAATATAAATTAAAATAAGTATTATAAAATAAAAAATTTGGTATTTTATTAGTAGATGATCAAATTTTCAATTTAATAGCATTTAAAACTTTATTATAAGATCTGATTTCTGAATTGGATATTATAGAAGCTTATAATGGATAATAGGCTATAAATAAAGTAATTTTAAATAAATCTAATTTAGTTATTATAAAATCAAAAGAACTTAAATATTAAATATGTTTTTATGGATTTATATATGCCAATTTTAAATGGATGGTAAGCAGCAGAAAAGATAAGAAATATGGTAAATAAATGTAATTATTATTATTAGATTAATAATAGAGAAATTGATAATGTTAAATTAGTAGCACTATCTGGATTTGATGATGAAGTTGAATAAGAGAAATGTGAAAAGCTTGGATTTGATGCATTTATACCAAAACCAATTAAATTGGAAGTTATTGCAGAAGTTTTTTTTTAACTTGAAAATGGCCGTTGATTTTTATAATTTATTAATTAATTCTAAATTTCAATTATCTTGGAAGTTCATCTAAGAAAATTAATCAATGATTTGATTATTAGTTTAAGTTTTTTGCAAACTAAAATCAAATTTAGCAATTAAGTCATCAATCAAATGATTTTCTTCTTTACCAGGTTAATTATGCTAATAGTATATAAGTTGCCCATTCTGATAAACTTCTACGTTTTTAAAGACTTCGTTCATATAGTCCATAATATAATTAATGAAATTGTGATGTTATTTAATAAACCCATAAAATCATGGTTTTAATATCAATTTATATAGTGGTTTATTATTTATGATAATTTTACTCATCAGTAGGTGATCCTTACCTTCACCTAATATATGATGAAAAGGAGTTAGAGAAATGATTAACGATTTCATACTCCACAGCGCTGACTAAAATATAATTATATATATATATATCATTTCTGTTTCCAATTACTGTATGAATAATTAACCTATTAATTATTAATGGATTGAGAACGAATAGATTATATAGTATTGTCTTATAATCTCTATGATTACACAGTACTTTTTTCATATGTAATTCCTCTAAGATTGTCTAGTTCAGCAGACATCATTACAATTATAGTTAAGAGTTCCATAATTTTATCAGATTTATCATATAAATTTGAAATCTATTTTGTATTTCTAACTCTAGTAAGTTCAAGAGATAAAATTGCAATCTTACTCTCATATTCATGTATCTATCTTTTCAATTTATCTATTTCTGTATTATTATTATTCATCATATTAGATTACTATTGTTAAGCTATTAATTATTGATTCTTTGTAATTTATTCTTAAACTTATATTTAGAGAGTAGATATTTATTATTAATATTATTAATGTTATCTCTATAATCTTTCATTGTCCTGTAAAATTGTAGATGCTTCTCTTTATGTTAATTCATACTCTTAGATTCTGTTTACACTTACATTTGCATTAATTTGATAAGTACTTATTTGAGATTTAATGAAATCATACTATTTAATGAATTGATCAATATCATATTACTTTTATTCTAATATTTCTTTAATCTTTCAATTTCATCTATAAGTAATTCATTTTTTATTAATTGCACCTCTATTTGTTTTTCTATTTATCTATAATCCATCAATGCTAATTCTATTCTTTAATACTTTTATTTCCATTCATCTGCATCTGTATTTAATTATTTTATTAAATTATTTAATCTTTCAATTTCTGTTATTAAAAAAGCCACTTTATGATCTTATTATCTTAATCTCTCATTTTATAATTAAAGTTCTTAAAAGTTTAATTCAAATTATCTAATCATTTCTTTATATACTTCAAAGATATATTTCTATTTATTTGCATCATTTATTGTATATTAATATTATTCTATTGTCATATTAAGTTGAGATATTTCTTATATCAAAGATTGATTTTAAGATTACAAACTCATTATTTATGTTTCTAAATGATTATTTTATTCTTATAATTTAGTAATTTCATTTCTTAATCTTCTCAATTCATCCTTCACTTAAATTTTCTAAATTTCATTTATAATTAATTTATTACTGACATTCCTTCCATTCATTTATCTTGATATAAATCCTCAAATTATTATTTTTTTCTTCTTAATTCTTCTAATTCTCTCATTACTTAATCTGCACTTTAACCATTAAATAGATTCACTTATTAATTATATTACTTCTAAAATGCTGCTAATTAAATTTCTGCTTAAATTATTATTATCTTTTAAATTAATCCTCCAAATCCTATACTTTCCTTTATAACTTTTCAATATCAATCAATAGATTACTCTATGAACTAATAAATATAATCATTATAAATGATTACTTGTTTTTAATCTAATCTTTTCCATCAAATCTCTTATCTAACTTTCATATTATACTCGATCTAAATTAGAATCACTATTTGATTGTAAATCAGATTTCAATTAAGCATTCTCTCTTTGTAATCTTTCAAATTTCTACTGCAATTACAAAAACTGTAATATCAAGTGGTAATTTTGTTCTTTTTCCTAATTCTTAAGGACCTTAAGAGTATCTTACTCTATTATCTACACTTTATACACTTATTGTTAAATTAAATTTTGACTTTGTGTATGTTCTGTTTTAGTTTAACATAATAAAAATTATTGATATTTATGAATTTATTCTAAACTATTTACACAATATTCAATTTAATGTACAAACTGTAATTTATACATTTTGATACTATTAATAAATCATACCAAATTAAATATTCTACATAAGTTTATTCTTAGTATTAATTTATTTTATTAAAAATACTATAATATCAAAGTAAATTATCAAACTCTAATGGGTTAAAATGTTATTAACATATGGTAAGCTAATTGGATAAACATTTTAAAAAAGAAAAATTAATAAGATTTACAGATTAAGTCAGTAGGATCAATTAGAAATTTTAGATAACTCTAATATAATATAGATCTAAGATTAACTTTATAAAAAATCAAGCTATTTTAATAATTATAATAATCAATTAGGTGAGATTTAAAGTTTTTGATTGAAGTTAAATTAAGTAAATTTATATACCATTTAAATAAATACAAGTATTAATCTATTACATAAGTTTTCAGAATCTTATCTGAAATATCTAGAAACAGTAATTCTATTTTGGGTAATATAAAAATTGAAGTTTTATTTGAAATAATTTTTAATAGTAATACTATTTTATTAATTATTATAAACGGATTAAATAAGAATAAGAACAGGTTAATCAAATCATCTCAAATGATTACAAATAATTCATTATTAAAAGACCAAACAAATCTTTAGAACATTTTAGTTATTATTTATTGACATTTTATTCAATAGAAAAAAGAAACAAAGATTTGATTACTTGTGATTTCTTGAGTAATATCAAGAAATGGATTCAATGGATTTTAAAGACATCTGAAAATATTACATATTGTTAAATAATTATTCATCATATTTATGAATAAAAATCTAATAAATAATGTTTTTATAAATATGTAATGAGAAAGGATAAAAATATATTATATATTTTGTACTTATTAGCAATATCTAAGCATATTGAGAGATTTAACAATTTTTATAAGAAGAGAAATATAAAAGTAATAATCAATTTTTAATTTAGTGTTAAATAAGAATTATTGATAGATTATGAGGAATTGAAGGTGATAATGTTGATATAGAAGAGTTTAGTGGAGAATATTAGTATGATTTTAGGAAATTAATTATAATTTATAAAGTTAATATATAAATAAAAATTATGTAATTAAGGCGGCAGGGAAATGTTCTATTTTTCTGATTTGTGTTTTTTTTGTTTTTGATGATATTATGTTAATGATTTCCAATCTAGTTAGGAACCATTCTTATTTGTATTTAAACCCCCCTATATTGATGATAAAATAATTGATTAAAATATCATATTTAAAGCCTCTAATTTTTTATACTAGAATAAGGTATTAGTTTTTGTAAGAATTATGCATTTTAGGAATGTAAAACAGCTTTGAAGAGAACTAAGGAAAAAAGTTGATTGAAGCACGATTGATATCATACTACACAAAGAAGCTGCAAAAGTCAACTATTTTAGAGAGTCAACAGCAGAGAATCTGTGCCTAAATGATTCTAAATCACTTACATGAGCTTCAATGTGAAAAACATCTTATAGAGGGATTGGAGAATTTCTTCAATCAAAAGAATGGCCATAAGCGTGGGCATATTCTATAGATTAATGGTACTTATATTTATGATGCATTCTGTCTAGATTTGAATCTGAAAAATTTAATCTCTACAAAATTAAGTCCTTCTTATGAAAATGTTATCTAAAAGATGCTTTAATAATATATTACTCGTGAGACACCTGAACCCAAACGATAATCAAGATTTGAACACATAAGAAACAAATCAAAATCACTTTAATAATTAAATGGTGGTCGAGTTGTGCGCCAAGAATATATATCACCAATTGAATATATGAGAAAATTAAAGACTTGTTTCGGACATGCTCTTCATCCAGATAATTAAGATTAGGAAGATCCATATATACCAGTGTATAATGTAATATATGACAGGTAAAATATGATATGTAGACTAATTAGAACTGGTTAATTATTATTGACAGGAGATGATTTAGGATTGATAAAGATATGGTCAGCATCAAATGGATTATTATTACAATCATTAAAAGGTCATACAATGGCAATAAATTCAATGGATATTAGTTATTGTAATAGGTATTTGGCATCTTGTAGTAATGATGGTTTAGTGATTGTTTGGGATATTTAAATTGGTAAACCTGTAGCAGCATTAAAAGTATAATACTAATTTTTATTATTAAAATAGGAAGCTTAAGATGATCCAATATTAGTTTTAGTATTTTATTAAAGTAATTCACAAAATGTAAACTATTTGACAGTAGCTAGTGAAAAAGGATATGTTTATATCTATAATGTATAGGATTTAATTAAATGTAATGGGAGTATATTAGGTACATAGTTCAATACAAAAATTAAGTAATCTGCCATTAAACATCAAGCAGATATAATTAGATTGAATGTAAATTATAATAAAGCAAATAAAGGAAAAGACAATGGAATATTATGTATGGAATTTAATAAACAGGGATATTTAGCTATGGGAACAGAATAAGGGGAAATAGTAATATTTGATAAACCAGAGAATCTTTAGAAAGTAATTAATAAAGTGGAATGGCGTGAACATACTAGTACAGTTCATTTAGCTCGTTGGTCTAAAGATGGTGATCAATTATTAACTGCATCATATGATGGAAGTGCTAGATTATGGAAATGGTAAGAAGGTGGAATTGCAGCTAATTAACATAACAGATCATCAGTGTTATTAAAATATAAATCTAATGAAGGTAGAAGAGTGGGAGAAATTTAATGTGTTGCAATAGCTTGGTCTACAAAAAGTACTTATGCTTTGGCTTCATTTAGTAAGAAATTAAAGAAGAAAGGAGATGAGGAAATATCAAAGACTTAAATTTAAGTTTATTCAACATATGAAAATTATATTATTAATTGTATGGAATAAGAAAGTTTACCTTAATTAAAATTAGATTCTCCTGTTATATTTTTAGAATCTCATCCTATTTATGAGGAAGTAGCATTATCAGCTGATGAAAATGGATTAATAATTTTATGGAATGTTTTAAAAGGAGTACCATTAAAAGTGTTTCATGAAAGAGGATATCATTTGAAATTACCAAATTTAGAAGTTCCTTTGAAAGATGGATGTTTCAGTCCAAATGGAATGACTTTTGTAGTATCAACAGATTATGGATCATTTTCTATTTATGGTTTTGGAATACAAGAAATCTTTGATTAAACACCTGTTGAATAATTTTATGTATCAGATTCTGAACATCCAATAATAGATGAATCAGATGGATTTAGAGTTATGGCATTAGATTCTGATATGGAATTTTGTTATGTTGATAGAGGAAGTATTTGTAATTTTTATAGAATGCCATATCATTATAATTTCTAAAATAATTTAAAAATTTTATTTCCTTATCTAATATCTTAAGATTATTAAGGAAAAAAGAGTGTCAATTTTTAAAAACCAAAATTATTTACATATATATAAATGTCAAAAGGAATAACTATTGATAATATGAAAAATGAAGAAATGTTTTAAGGTTATTTTACAGAAATGAAATAAATAGAAATTAAAATCATTTAAGAAATTAAAGAATTAATGAAAATTTAAGATTAAGTTAAAATTTAAAAATTAGAAGGTGAAATAATTTAAGTAGCTAATTAACCTAATGCAGAAAGATCACCATCTTCTAATCATAATGTTAAACTTATTAAAAAGACTGAATTAAAATCAGGAGAATTAATTAAAAGAGCATTAATTAAAGATGATGAAGATAGTAGTCCATAAATTTCTTAAGAAATACCTCAATAATCAATTATTAATATTAATGAATCTAAAAGATAGAGTTAAAGAAGAAAGAAAGTAATAGAAAGTGAAAGTGAAGAAGAAAGGAGTAAATAAAGTAATTAAAATATTAAGGAAGATGTTTAAATAGAATAATAATCACCTTTATAGACAAGATCAAGAAGAAATTAAAGAAGTTAATAAATTAGATTATTAATATTAAATAATCATAGATAATAAAATGAATTAAGAAGAAATAGATCATAAGTCACTGAATAATGTACTCGATGTAGAATATTAATGGATAATGTTGTTCGTTGTCCTGAATGTAAATCTGCATATCATTAGGAATGTAGTGAAATTCGTCTATTTTTAAGTGAATTAGATTTTGGAACTTAAAAGAAAATTTGTATTAATTGTATGGCATAATTTTAAAGAAAAAAATAAGCATAAACTAGATAAGGTGATCACTAGAGAGACAAATATTTAACTGATGATACTAATTCCCCTTAAATTGGAGATGATGTAATATTCTTTACAAAAGGATATGAATAATACTTATAAAAATGTCTATAAAATTTAGATTTATCAGAATTATCTATTGATTCTGCATCTAAGAAAACTATTGTATTTCCTGGAGATATTTTAACAGATTAAGAATCTGCTAATTTTGTATATTGTAAAGTACTCAATATAAGTTATATTTTCCCTGTTATTAATACAGTTTTTAAAAGACAAGTTAATTAAAATTCATATATCATATAAGTTTTTGAACTTCAAGCAAAGGATCTAATTTTCAAATGCTTTTACTCTTATGATTGTGATCCATATCTTATTCTTGAGTAATCTTATGCTTCTAGTGTAAAATAAATTCGTCCTTATTTGAATCAATAATAATTAAGTTTCCAAACTGATTCTGATAAAGATAATGGATTTGGTCATCAATATCAATTTATTGCTGAAGAAACACCAGATAATTATTTAAATGTAAGTGATTGGTAAGTCTTAAAATGCAAAAGGATTAGTGATGATACATATTAATTAAGAAATCAAAAAAATATGATTGCTTATTGTCATTTAAATTTCTGGGAAATTGCATCAATGATGAATAAATCTAATAAATCTATAGAAATTTAAGGAGCTTCCTTATAATCTGCATTAACTACTAATGAAGCTCAATAAATTAATAGAGATATTAATTCTATGATTAAAAAATAAAATAAGATATCCTTTTTCTTTTCCAATGAAGTTGATGTACAATAATACCCTGAATATTTAGATTATGTTCCATTAATGAGTTATATAACACTTATTCAAAGAAGGTAATTATATAAGTTAATTTTTAAGATTAGAAAATGATTTTTATAGAAGTAAAGATTAAATCCTAAATGATGTTGAAAGAATTAGAAGTAATGCTTATATTTTTAATCCTCCAAAATCAGAGGTTTGTGAATTAGCTGATAAATTAGCCAATCTTTTACATTCAATAGTAAATGGTGAGCATCTTCAATAACAAGTAACAACATAAGTTAGAGAAATATAAACAAGAAAAAAAAAAAAATTATATTGATTAATTTTATATTTTTAGTATTTATGTTATTTTTCAATCATACTATAGTATAGTATACATTAATTTAAGACTTTTAATTATTATATTTATATTTTTTATTTTGATTATCTTACAAATATCTAAATTATTATTGCTTGCTTTAAGAATAATCATAATATCACTTTAGGTTAAGTTATACTTTATATTTTAAGTAAAATAAGGTATAAATAACTTAATATATAGCATTATTATAAATAAGATATAATAAATTTTATTTTAACTAAATATTATGTTGTAAATTTTATAATTTATAAAAAGACTATATTTATCTTGAATATATATCTTAATAAGCTTTAAAATTTGAAGTAAGAACTATTACTTTATCTTTTAAATTTTCTTTATATAATTTTTTATGCTTAATTGAGAGTGTATTTAAGGAAAATAAATAAAATTATTCATAAATAATTTAATTATCTGTCTATAAATGTTCCCTGTGAAGTTGATCGATTTGTAATTGTCTCCATCTAGATCGGAATTCAAGGATTTCTCGACTAACATTAGTGAAAACGATTTGGATTATGATACTTTCAAATTAGAACAAGTACATAAGCCTCCATAGATTAAGAAGAGTTCTTCTTATCCTAGAAATTATGTACTATATTTGACACTATATTTTTTTAGTATAAGTAGCAATTAATTGAAGAAAGTAACATTGAAGGTGATCAAATCATTTAGGAATGCAATCGCTTTGTTTAAGACTCTTAAGTTTCTGTCACTCAACTACTTTAAGAACTAGCTCTTGAATAACCTAATAAGAATAGATCCACCGGTTATCTTAAGTTCTTCGATGAAAATAAAAATTATGGATTTATTGTTATGGATTAGGATGGCTCAGACATATTCGTCTATGCTGATGATCTCGCCAAAACAGGCATTTCAAGAGACTATTTAAGAACAGCTAAATTCGGAAATTACATTAGGTATTCTTCTTATCTCAAATATAAGATTTAATTTTACATGCATGGAATATTATGGTAAATATAACAAATCAAGAAAAGCCATCGATTTGGAGTATCAAAAGCCTAATCCATTCTTCTAAACAATATACTGATTTATATATACAAATTATAACTTAGAATATATAATGTTAAGTTCATTTTTGAAAGTGCTATTTTATCAATAAAAATTAATCATAAAACCATTTTATTTGATATTAACAAAAAAAGTTATTTATAAAAATATTAAGCATATTCAGTATTAATTACACTAAATAAATCACTTCAACTTTATATTTGTGAATAATTATTCAAATTGACATCATTAATTTTATCCTTAATATTAGGATTAAAATATTTACATCATATAAATTATAATATTATTATCAAATATCTAAATTATAATTAATTTAGAATTGTCAGACAATATCTGAAGGGAGTTTTTTACAATTTATCATATTAAAAGTGTAAAGTACTCCTAAATTTATATAATAATTTTGTAGTCCATTTTAATATGATGAATTAATCCAATATTATTGAATATATTAAAAAATAGTCTTAATAATTTATCTAATCTATCTTATTTATGATAAAAATATGAGCTTTATCAATAACTAATAGTTTATTTATATCATATATTTAATAATAAAATATATATGGATTTCATATAAAACCAAAAATTATTATTCATTATATAATATATTAGATTTGTTATAACATTTATAGACAAAGACTTAATAATAGATATAAGGGTAATTCATTTATAAAAGTTAAAAATTTACATTATTTTCTAATTTGTTATTGATTATTCCTTATCTATTACTTTAGAATATTTATTATATAAATTGTTTTATTTTAATATTTCTTCAAAAGCTTTTTTTTGATTCTCAAATAACTATTTGCATTCAAGTAACTGAAAATATTATTTTAAGGTATACTAAATTATTCGATTGTTTAGGTCCGCTAACAGATCTATTTCGTAATTGAAAATATCTTTTATCTGACTCAAATTATAAAAGATTATTAGTTTCTGTTGTGCTTACTCTATCTTCAACAATTATTTATTTCATTCTTTGACTTTGTTCTTCTGATTTAAGCCCTCGAAAATCTTGAGGATTCTGATTAGCAGACGATTAAGGTGTAACTGCCTTCTTTGGTGGAATCAAACCAAATTTAAAAAGAGGATTCCTCCTGCTAATTTTAGGGTGAGCCCTAACATCATTAATTATTTTCCAATCTGCAAATGTAGGTGTAAGTATATTGGGTAATTTTGCTCTTTATTCCCCTTGTTCTTAAACTGATGATGCTCTAATCCTAGTTTGTAGTTATTACATATTATTAAGGGCAATTTATAATAAAATAAAGAAATTTAACTATTTATTTCTTTTCAATGAAGATCCAGATATTTATTGATATACAATGCAGTGTATTCATTATATCGATTTCAATAATTAACAATAATATTAAGTATGAAAGATTTTAGAATGAATATGCCATAATTATTTTATCAAGATATTTCTAAAGATGTGGTTAGATATTAATTTAGATATTTATAATTCAAGCTTGTTATTTATAATAAAGTGTTATATTTAGGAATAATTAATTATCCTCTTAAGATAATTAATTATATAATAGATTTTTAAACTAATTATCAATTAAATCTCTCAAAATATTTAGATCTAGGTTTAATAGATGGCAAATTGAAAAAAATTAATGTTTACTTGAATATATTCTTTATTTCTAAAATTATACCATAATATAGGTAGTTAAGAATCAATTTTTATTTTGTATATTTTAGACTAAAAGGATTTTTCTAAAGTAATTTATTAAATAATTTAAGAAAGAGATTTTTTATTACACAATTTAATATTTTTAATGGTTTTAAAATTCTATTTAATTTCTTGTATATATAAAGAGTAGCTTATATTCATTTAATAATAAATAGTATTCATTAGTTGTTAAAAATAAAAATTCATTATTTGTTCATTTTTTTTTTAATAATAAAACTTAAGATTTTAATTCAAATAATAATTTCAAAGGAGAGCCTTTCAAATAAATATGATTTGATTTCTTTCTTTTAGTTTAGATTATTTATTTTTAACTAATTAGTGGAAATTTAATTTTTGCTGGAGAACAATGAGCGCTTTGAGATATATATTTATCAACAGTTCTATTTGGTTTAAGATTGTGTGATTATAGTATGTCTTCATAGACTCTAGGACTATGTACTGAAGGTTTTTATTTAATTTTACATTTTGCTCTAGGGAATTGAGTGTTTGTGATTTAACTTTGATTCATATTCATATTCATGTTTTTAGTAATTGTAATTTGAGATTCATCTATTGTTTTTTGACTTCCATTTAAAGCAAAATTTTGCTATTTGATTTATGTTTGAGTTTTATCAATTGTCGTTATTGTTATAAATTCTTGAGTTTCATTAGCAATTTTCAATTCATTTGCAAAAAAATATTCATAACCAATATTATTGTCATCTTTAGTCTATAGTGTTTTACATTTATATAGTTTTTATTGAATAAATTAGTTTTAGAGTAAGGTTGTTCCTTTTCTTTCCTTCTTAAAGTTATTATTATCCTAATTTTAAAGAGGGACTCTTATTATCATAGCTGATAGATGTCTGCCACCTCCTTTATTGCGATACATCTTTCTCTTTCTTTTTTTTATATGATGTGCTCTTATGTAAGTTATGGGTTACAAAGCATTTTATTTTTCGACAAATGCATTTGTCTCTCCACACTCAGAGCATGTACAAGTTTTCCTTCTAAATTTACATTATTATCCTCCAGTTGGATTAAAAAAATAGCATTTAAAGCTTCTTCCTCTTAATGTATTTTAAGGAACAACTTGATTCATTTATTTTATTTGAGGTTCTAACTTTTTTAATTTTATTAATTTAATAGAAGAGTTGAATGAAAATTAATTATTAGTATGTGAATTTTGGAACATTTTAATTAATAATTTTTAGATAATTTTTAATGTATACTTCTAGATATAAATAGTAAAGTACTAAACAAAAAATAAAATTATTAAATTAAATACAATGAATTTTTAAATTATATTCTATTTTACCTTTTGTCTTGCTGCATCTGATGTCTGGGATATTAAATTACCATCCTAGATGTAGCTACTAGAAAAATTAAGAGAAAGTCGATATGATAGAAGACTTGAGGATGTTTAGAATTAATGGGAACCCATAAGAATAAATTTTGAATACTTAAATCCTGCATAAGAAAATATCTAAACAAATACAGTGTTAAATATAGTTAAGACATTTTTTGGAAGACATTTATTAGTGAAAAGACAAACAGGAAGTTTAGAATGGAAATCTAGTTATGAAACTGATTGGGGATTAATTTAAGTACCTACTACACTATAGAAAAGTTATGATGCTGATTTAGTAATCTAATAGACTATTATTAGGTTTTTTTTGTTGGACAAGAGACAAATTCTGAAGTAGAATATATTGCAAGAGCTGCACCTGTGATTTTTTAAGAAAAAACAGGAAGACCAATTTTTGGATTAATGATATTAAATAATCATTATATGAATGAATATTAGGTATAAATAGAATGAATATTTTTAGGGAACTGATGCAAAATTTGAGGCTGCTGTTTAAATAGTAATACATGAAACAATACATGGTTTAGGATTTGTTGACAATCTCTATCCTCATTATTATAATAGTACATCTAATTAGAAATATGATTTTACTGTTTATTAAAGAGTAAATCAACAGATAGATTTGCCAACTCCAAGATTGAAATAGTTGGTTGAGAATCATTTTGGTTGTTCTAATTTATTGGGGGGAACTGTATTTATAATCAAGTTAATAATTAGATGGAAGATTAAAGTGGAAGTGGAACAGCTGGATCACATTTTGAAAGATCTATTTTTCAAAATGATCTAATGACAGGTTCAATATTGACAGGTGATTCTCTATTTACAGAATTTACATTTGCCCTCTTAGAAGATACAGGGTATTAAATACATAAATAAATTTTAGATTTTATCGAGTAACTAAACATGTATCTGATGTGTTATTATGGGGATTGGATAAAGGATGTGATTTTTATTAGTACTAATGTTATTCAGATACTTAATATGAAGAATTCTGTTCAGATCCATATGATCCAGACGACTCAGATGATAACCTATTTGATCATTTATCTTGTTCATATGCTCAAACAGGAATAGGAGTTTGTATAAATGATGGACTTGTTGAATGTCCATATTATGCTGTCATTCCTTCATTAGACTGCAGAGATGCTTCCAATTATAATGCAACATTATTTGATGGATCTAACTTCTATTTTGGATATGATAGTATGTGTGTTAGAGGTGGTTTAACAAACAAAGGAAAATAATTGTATCTTGGATTTAGTTGCTTCAAATATTCTTGTGATGAAGATGATTACTTAACTATTATAGTTGATGGAGTACAATATGATTGTAGTAGTGGAGGTTCATAACCAAGTTTTGATACTAATAAATATTAATATGGATTTCTCTGTCCAGATAATCCGGAAGAAATCTGTTAATCAAATAATGAATGTCCAAAATAATGCAATAAGAAAGGATTTTGTTTAGGAGGAGTGGTATATATGATTAAATTAATAAATTAGTGTACTTGTATACCTGGTTATTCAGGAAGAGGATGTGAAAATCTTTGTTATACATTTAGAGATGGAATTGATTGTGTTTAGAGTTGTCCAGCAAATACATTCTCAAATGATCAAACAATGTATTGTATTGGTTGTCCTGCTAATTGCTCTACATGTTCAGCAAAAGATGAATGCACAGAATGTGAAGAAAACTTTGAATTAGTTGGTGGATTTTGTTAACCATTACCAACATATTCTTTAATGTTAGTCACATCTATAATCGCTTTATTTTTAGCTCTATGATAATAACATTTTATAGATCATTTTTTAGTAACAGATTATTTCTATATAATTTTTTTATTCTATTTCCAATTAATGCATTGATTCTAATAAAATAATTATATTCCTTGCAATTTTGTATTTTATATAATAAAATATTCATGTTTACAAAATATTATAAATTTAAGATTCAATTTAGGACTTAAAAATAAGAAATAATAAATTAAATTCAGAAATTCTATTTTTAAATATGAATAAAGAAATACCTTAAATTTTAGATTAATACTTGTTAATAAAAATAAGTGAATATATAAAGTAATAAAAAAACAAAACCTGTCTTAATATATAAATACTTTTTATTTATAAAATAAAAAATCTTGTTTATTCCCAACAATAATAGTTTTAATAATAAACTATTTTTAACATTACAATTTTTTAAATATATATTGCAATTAATAAAAACATTGAATATTTAATGTGATATTAATATTTTCATGTTTATTTTTTATAATTTTATGATTTCAAGTTGGATTAATCATTTTTTTATCGTATTTCCTTTATGAATTAATGATAAATACAGAAATAAATTAGTTTATAATATAAATCTTTATTCTTCACATCCATGATAACGTAAAATTAAATTGAATATATGATAAGAACTTAGAATCAACAAAAAATTGTTTATTTGCTGATTTTTAGAAAAATTTAAGCACTTTAGAGAAATAATGACTTTGATTCTATTGTAAATTAATTAACGTGATATAATTTTGGTATAAAATAATCATGAATATTTACATGAGCATTTCGATTAATTTACTGATTGGATTTGATGCTATAATCAGTGCAATATTGGCAGATTAAGAGACTACTTATATATTAACTGCAATTAGATTCTCAATAGCATTGGTCAGTGTAATATGTCATTTTGTTATCCACAAATAATTTAAGGTTCCATTATTTACCCTTTGCTTATAACTTTTATATTAAGTATAATTGGCTTCAGAAATTAGGTAAGCCTTTTAAAGTTTAGATTCTTATCACTTTTATATATATTTGTTATTGTTATATTAAGAACAATCAACACAATAGCATAAATATTTATAATATTTCTCAATAATTTATTGTATGGTAGAGATTCAAATTACTAATACTTTCATACATCAGTACATAAACACAACCTTAATTACTATATTAATAATTTTGATAAAAGTGGTGAATTTACAATAATTAAGACACAAACATGCCACTTCTCATGAAGTTTTATATTCATATTCTACAGTACCAGCTGAATAAATTATGTCAAATAGGAAAATTGATCTTATTTAAAAAGATGAGTTAATTTACATTACAAATCATATTAAACAAGGAATAATATATTTTTCAACTACTTTAGATATATTATACATAAATGATAAGGCATCTAAAATATTAATGGCTTAGACTGATGAATAAGCTATGCTTTAATTTTAAAAGATGATAATACAGTAAATTTTTATACTATATTTTAGAGGTTTAGAATAAGAAGAATAATAAATAAAATTGCACAAAGAGATTAAGGGTCGTGCTTCATAAAAGTAATTACCTTAAAAGGCAGATAGTAAAATGATAGAATCTTTAATTGCATCTGCTGAAAATCATTATAAAAAATATTAATCACTTAGTGAGAAGATATTAGAATAATAATTCTAATATAAAAAATAAAAAAAAAATTAATTATCAAAACATAATTTTAAATAGTTGCTTTTATCACTTTTTAGTGAATCATAAATTTCTTCTCTGTAATAATATCTGTAACTTTAGTTTAGAACATAGGAATTTTGTTAAATCTAACAAATTAACAGTTCATTTTAGTACCAATAATCATGAAAAAACCATAGAAATAACATTTTGTAAAATGATAAACTTATTAAACTAAAATTGTTATCTAGCATTATTTTAAGATATTAGTGAAATAGAATAGTAATAATAATTTGTTTAGAAATATAAATTTTAAACCTTGTATTTTAATTCATTTTCTCATGAATTGAGAACTCCACTTAATTGTTCATTAAATTTATTATAAGCTTTAAAAAATTAACCTATTTAAACAAATCTTATACAATAATATATTAATCCATCAATAGTATCTAATAAATTACTTATGCATTAAATTAATGATATTTTAGATTATGCTTCATTTGGTTTAGGAACATTTCATTTAAATATGTAAGAATTTCTGATAAAAGATTTATATAAATAATTAGAAGAATATTATTAAGATATTTGTCAAAGTAAAGGGATTAAATTAAATTTACAAATTTTAGATGGTCTAGAAAATATCAAAATTAATAATGATCCTGAAAGAATATTATAATTACTTGTTAATTTAATTAATAATTCATTAAAATTTACAGAATAAGATGATACAATTTCAATAACAGCCAAAAAAAAATAAAAATCTTCTGGATTGATAAATTTTATTAAATTTATTGTTCATGATACTGGTAAGGGAATTTCTAAAGTAGATTTAGAAGCAATTAATAATATAGTTAATGCAAGTATTGATGATAGTATATTTTATTAATTGAGAAATTTCACAACAAAATATGTAGGACTTGGTTTTTCTATTGGAATGAAAATGAATCATGAATTGTCTTATTCAAAAAAATCATATTTTAAAATTAGAAGTAAAGAAGGAGAATATACTAAAATTAGTTTTAGAATAAATAATTAAATAAATTCTATTTCTAGATCTCTTAAAGGATCTACAATAAGATTAGATGAAATAGTAGAATCATATGATGATAAAGTTATTATTGAAGATCATTAAATGCCATTATGGAATTAAACATTTTTTACTTAAAGATAACATTAAAATCATACAAATCCTCCAATTCTTATTTGTGATGATGTACCATTTAATTTATTGTCTTTAAATTTATTAATTAAGAATTTAGGATTTGAAAGTGAAATGGTTTATGATGGATAAGAAGCTATAAATAGAGTTATTAATAGATAAAAAATGTAATAAATATAATATAAATTGATTCTAATGGATATTGAGATGCCTGGTTTAAATGGATATTA